AATATACATCCCGCAATTGATGCTCGTACAATATTAAAAGAGGTTGAATTCTTTCAAACTGTAATTTCGAGAAATTCAAGCAAAAAAATCAATTATACTTAAACGATGAAACACAACAACAAAAACATTAATAAACAAATACTTCAAACCAAATATTGAGTTCACTTTTTTTTTCATTTCCAAATTTTCTTTCTGTAGTTGTTTTTGTTTAATTTTTCAATAACATCTTGAGAAAATTTGAAGTGAAAGCTTTCCATTGGCAATGCTTGTTCACCAATTTCAACGTGTTTAGAGATAATCGTTTTGACAGTTCGATTAAATAACTGATTTGAAATAACCACTTTTTATTTGAATTTTTATAAATTTTTATTTTTCATTCAAATTTTATTTATACACCTTGTATTAACTTGCAAAATTTTGTGAAAAATTCTATGAGACAACTGTGCATGTAATGAATTTTCTTCAATTGAAAGTTTAACAATAAAAAGGTCATCATGATTTTGGAAAATTTCGTTGGAAAATGCTTCATCATTTTTTTTTTCGTTATAGACGGGTCTGTTGGCGGAATGCAAAAATTCGAAAATCACAGAAAACCAGGCGGAGGACTTAATACTGAAATTTCTTAGGGACAACGACGTTAAATCGTTTACGAGCCCATCAGCTGGCAATAGTGTGTACATGGATCGAATGTTTCTTAGAGAGTATATGCCATAAATCCATTATTGAAGAATGCTATCCATTCTTTCGAATATTTTTCCATTACGTTCCATTACATATTGATCAATTCCCATTATTCCCATTCTTTTCTTTGTGATTAACCCTAGGTATATGCCACGGATCGATTCTCATCTTCATTATCGTATCATTGATGTATCAACGATAAAAGAGCTCTGCAAACGATGGAATGGCTCACTATTTTTGATGGTACCATCAAAACAGAATGTGCAATTGTGCATCGAGGCCTGAGTGATATCAAGGAATCAATCAATGAGCTGAAGTATTATAAGCAATTCATGTTTTTGCCAAAATAATCTCACATATTTAGTCCATTATCATTAGATATGAAGCACTTTTCTGTTTAAATTAAAAATAATGAGTGCGTTTAATACCAATTGTATCAACCATAAAAGAAATTATACATAAAGACATATTCCAGTTTTAATATGTGCGTCGTATTATTCCGTCTGTACAAAAGTAGCAATTGCTTAAGTAATAACGCATAATCAATTGATCATTTGATTTTTCGCTAAGCCATTGATACAGTTCGTACATTGCATGCCCCAAATCTCTCTGATAACTGTTATTATTTGTATTATAAATTCGTGCTGGTATGAACTGGCACAGGAAAATAATAAATTCAATCAAAAATAAGTTCAGCGAATTGTTTTTGAGAGAAGTGTCTTAAAGTAATGTTGAGAGTTGTTCACTCGCCCTATCCCGTCCAAAAAACCGAAATGATACAGAAACGTGTATGCTACGTACAAATATTATGTGTAAGCGCTAGATGCCGGCATGGTTTTTTTTTACTGTTGCTGCCGTTGCCATTGTTGCTTTCTTTCATCTAGCTCAGTTGACAATAAGGGGACTTATAGTTCATGAGTTTACCCGAAAGGAACGGAGTAAGCTGGTAGCTACAGTCCCCGTGGCTTGCCGACTAAGCACTGGCAAAACAAATTGCATAATTAGCGTGAACACGCCAACCGTATCTCTTTTAACAAAAATGCGATCGGAATAATGGATCAAAAACAGTACGATTGTTGACAATACAAACAAATGGAAATAGCTCCAAATAATCAAACATTTTGTAAAAAAAATTTTTGGGTAAAATTGACGAGACTTGTGAGGTGATTGTTTTATATATGTTTCCGAGGTCAGAGAACACGAATTAGGGCTTTTTGAGCATGGTTGTTGTGGCTTAAAGTTCACAATATGTATTGTTATGGTAATCATTATTTTCAGAATCAACAAACAATAGAAGGAACATCGCATTCTATCCAAGATCAATCACGAACCCTCGGTCGCAAGCCCTGGGTATTCTGCGGGATGTCAATGACATCGTGGTCCCAACGTAGCTACATTTAATCCTACTAATTTTGGATTATTTTGTTGGAAAATCTCAACTGATTGATATTTAATCCTCTCTACAGTGTTCTACAGTGTTCTACAGTGTAATCGAACGGCAAATCAAAATTTGGTTCCAAATTGACGTATGAAATGGAAGAAAGAGAATAAAACAAAAGGTGAATTTCGATTAGTTGACATAAATTTAATGATTAAATTTTATGACGGGAATGATATTTGGCGAACGAATTCAATTTATTATAAAGCTCAAATCTAATCATTTTTATTATCTTGATTGAACTAATCTTATCGTTGAAATGACTATCTTAGTGCCAATCAATCAGTAAAATTTCGTTGTTGAATAACTGGGTACATTTATTATTTGTCACTGGTGTTTGGATTTCTTCGTTGATAAATGGTTTTCTCTATAAAACGCTACTAAGACTTTCCTTGATCGAAAAACATACATATAGGTATACAGCAAAATGTGAACACACATTTTATACGGAAATCTGAAATCGAATTATTTTCTACAATTTCATAATTGTCTGTTGTTTATGGAGTCCTTATAAATGTTCAATGTGTGGACAGATTGGTTTTTTTCCTTAAAAAATACTTCAGAACAAAACTACTTATTTCTAATCACTTTCGTTTTCAAATGAATGCGGCGATGGATTGGCATGAAGTTGTCCGCTTGTTGGTGTTTTTGGTTTCGGTTTCACACACGATTCAAATGTGTCGAGTAAATGAAGCTCTTGTCATATAGAGACGCAACTATACAGAGCTAATGTCATTCACAAGAAAACAGTCAAACATTGAGAAGAAAAAAAACGAACTAACAAACATATTTCGTTTCAAGTGCCAAACAATTGTGTGAATAATTATGTCGGATTCCGAAGGTGATAATAGCAGCAGAAAAACCATCGGGACCAACACAGATGATGGATTTGTATCACATTTAGGCCATGAAACCCCACCTGGACGCGGTGTAAAGCGAACAGCAACTGGCAAACCAAAACCAGACACACCAATTACATATGCCACAAAGGATTTAAATGCAAAAGTCTGCGATTTTACTAGAGAATCGAATACTTCAATGCTACTTTGGTATGTTATATTCATTGATTTTTTTAAATTTAGAAATGAAAGAGAACAAATTTACATGAAAAACTAAATCGTTCATTTATATTTAATATTTTTAGTAAAGACAAAACAAACACGCAGACAATTTCTACGTTGAAGCGTTGTTTGCAAGCTGCTGATTATGCTATCAAGACATTGGAAAAATCACGGTATGAAAATACTTGGAAACTTTATCTCAAAACTTATTTTACAACGCAAAATGAATGAATTTAATTTTTTTTCTCTCTAGTGAAATTGTCGCTTTGAATATGGATAGTATAAATCAGTCAGACGAATCGGAAAGTTCTAGCCCAGTCAGATTCGCTCCAAATACAACACTCTTTTCGCCAAAAACGAAAGCAACTGAAAGCGCCAAATCGATACAAGCTCTTTGCCTAAGCGTTGGATGCTTCAGCGGTATGGCAGCAGGTGATGCGATGTAAGATGCCAAGTGCTGTTTCATTCAATTCGATTATCTTAAAAAATGAAAATTGTTTCTTCTAGCTTGGCAAATCCAAAAAAACAAGAGAGGTTGGAACGATGGCAAAAAAGTATCAAAATATTTTCCGATTTGATAACTTCTCAACGGTACGTTTTGGCCAATAAACAATTGTCAATTTTCAATTTTCAACTAAATAGATGATTATACCTTTCTCTTCTTTTCATTCTTTTCATCTAGTGGACAGATTGTGCAGAAGATAAAAAAAATCGACCCAGAGCAACGCATTGAAGAAGTTTTCAGAATGGCCAAAATGACTGATTGGGAAATAGATCTCGTTCATCTCTCACGGATAAATTCATATCATGAAAAGTTTGAAAAATATCTCGAGGAATTCAAAAGCCGAGAAAATCCGGAACAATGAAAAATGGAAACGACATCAAATGAGATGGAAAAAAACACACACAGACGCCGAAGATCACCCTTTGTAACCCCAAATTGTGTAAATTATTAACAGTCTTTCGATGGAGTTTGTTTTGCACGTGGCGCTCGTTGAACCTTCTTATATATATTTAAATACCTTTATCTGCTTCTGGTTTCTAATCCTATAAGCGGAAACATTATCTGTTATAAAATTGTGTGACTTGGAATATAACGAAGTAAGTAAATAAATGCAGTGTAAAAAAAAATAGTATGGAATGTTCTTTATATTCAATGTTGTTGAGACAACGAATAAATTTCTTGTAGCCAAAAAAGAACGACGAAGGCAAATTTACACAGGCCACTTAAAATTTTGTATGGGTGTGTTCGTTTGCTGGTGTGGGGCATTTTTAATGTTCAATTTTTGGTATCACATTTCCAAGTCAATCGATTTAAAGCACTAAAGCGATTTATCTTTTACCCGGGAATTTATTGAATTTATTAATTGGAACAGATGTTTTTTCACCTAACTTGTTCATTTCATCCATACCGGTTACGCCCATTAAAAAACCGGTATGGATGAAATGAACAAGTTCTATCTACTACAACTGTATACTAATTGAAAACGAAACTCTTTTTACTCGTTTACATAATTTGCTGGCACTTATCTCGTCCAGCGTGTGTTCTTTTGTACGTATAGGTTTGTACAAACAACGGTCCTTATCATTAAAATGATACCGCACTTCGGTTTTGTCTCATCGCTCGCATCATTTTCAAGTAGTGCCAAAATCATAATCAAAATTTAATTGAAACATATAAAAGCGATATCATCATGATCTGCTTTTTTTTTTACTTTTTCATTCAGAAATTGATATATTGAGGATGAATTTACATCTGGTTGAATGAATGAAAAACATAAAGGCTGTTCCAATCATTTTTGTTAATCATTGTGTAGTCCAAAAATCTTTGCCCGTCCAAATAAATGTCTATGCGAATTTAAAATGCCGCTTCGTGATAATATGTTCAGGCTAACACACGTTCGCACAGATTGCAATTGTTCCTAACATGATAATACCTATAAGTTGGGGATTTTCCAATAAAAAATGAGCATGTTGAAGAAATTAAAAGTAAGGAAACGCATAATTTTAATTTTTTTATGTCGATTTATTTGGTTGCTGTTTTTGTTGTATTTGTTTTTCAGTTTTGTATTCTTACACTTAACTTTTTAATACATTTACATATATTATATAATGTTTTTTTTTCTTCTTTTCAAATGTTCAATGTTTCATTTGTTATTGCTAAATTTATGCATCAAATAACATTGTTTGGTCTTTTAAAAAGATTTTTTTTTCTTTTATATTGTATCGTTCCTTTTTTTGTCTGTATCCCTTTGCTGTTTAGGATCGAATTGTCTAATATATTAACTTTTGATAGGCATCGTGAAATGCGAATCGTTATTGCTGGACAAAAAAAAAGAGTCATTTCAAATGTCTTGGTGCATTACTGCATAAAACTACATTCGTTTAAATTAACAAACTAAAGACTGCCGTTGAAAATTCAATTGCATACTAAGATAAGTGTTTGTTTAAGCCGAAAGCCGAAAAAGTTTCTTTATTCAATTTGGTTTGATTGCTATTTGAATGGATTCTTATTTGAAGCAGAAACGTTCAGAAAGCGATGTGAAATTTGAAGTGAAAACGGCATGGCAGTTATATCACGGTTTTCGAATATATGCAATGGCAGTTTTGACCGCGACTTCAGCAAAGTTGAATAAAGCATTTTATTTATTGCGATAGATGTATGGCGCCATTGTGTTGAAATCTCGGCCACATAAAACTATTATTCGTAATTCAACCTATTTTCATTAGTTAACAAAATGAAGCAATTGCTCTTTACACTTAAAAAAAGAAAGAAAGAACAACACATATTTTTGTTTTTGTTTTTTGTTTTTTTTGTTGTTGGTTTGTTTGTTTCGATTCGCAAAAATCTGTATACATTTAGAGATTAGATCAATTCTAATTTCGGGCTTTAATACAATAAATATAATATCGACAAATTAATTATTATAATAATATAGTTTTCTCAACATTTCGCATCAGATTCTATTTATTTCTTTTGTTTTCTTTTCATTGTTTTTCGTCGTGCAAACTGTTTATTTTTTTGATTTTCCATATGTTTCTTCTCTCTTCTGTAACTAAAGTTCGAAAAGTATTTTGCAGTTTTATTTTTGTTTGTTTCTAAATTAAATGAAATAAATTACATAAACAAATTAACTCGTGAACGAGATGTGTTAAGTATTCGAAATGAAGTTCGATCAAAAAAAAATTCAAACGAGCGAAACTAAATGAGAGCTGGCCATTGAACAGGTGGCCATCGAACAATGATTTAAATGTAGTATACGTTTGCCAAATGCTTTCCATACTGGAGTTTGAATGTATGTATGAATTATCGATGAAAAATAATAATGGTTGAATCGATTCAAGGCGAAAACAAAGAAAAAAGATAGTATTCTTGATGGATTCGATGGTTTATAAAATTGTCCTAAGATAAATTTGCAGAGAAAATAGAAGAAAAAAAAATAAAGAGGAACGCTATTCATCATTCACTGACATGTAAATTAGCTCAAGCGATTTTCTATTTCAAATCGATACGATATATATGTAACGATGAATGAACTATTCAGTTTTTTTTTTTCCTTTTTTACGTATTGCTCTACGCTATTATAAATTTGTTTTGTTGATATCACAAAATGGAAATAAAATTAATGGATTTCCTTCAATAATAATTTAAAAAAAAAGAAACGAAGAAATAATGAGTGGAAATATAATTTTCTTTTTTTTTTTTTTTTCAAAAAAAAAAAATTCAGCACCGAAAAATATAAAAAAATAAAAATGTTTAAATTCATATTTCTTTGACTTATACATTGATTCAAGACAGAATTAGTAGAATGAAACATAGAATTTGTATTTTCTGTTCATATTTGTTTCATTTGATAGTTAAATTTACACTCATATTTATCTTAGATAACAACTTGGGATATTGCGGAACTGGAGAGACTTCTTTGTATTTTTTTTATTTTTCATTTGGAAACACAGAAAGAGAGAGGGCATTTCACACAAAAATCTTTTATTTTTGTAAAATTTTCGTCTCTTTCTTCTTTTTATCTTTCCATTAAATGTCAAAATATCTATGTCCATTTTAATATCATCACCATTATTATTTGTGTGGATATTTTTTTTTCTATGTTCTTCATTTTCTATGGCAAATGTCTGCGATTTTGATATGCCGAAAGCGTGTATTGCGTTTTGCATGGATTCAAAATAAATGTTGCCCATTCATTTTTACTAATGCGATTTTCTACTCTGAGTGCAATGTTCATTCAACTTATATTTCTCTTTTAAGAAGCAATAACAATGTTTTATATCATTTTTTTTGTTTGTTTGTCGTTTAATGAACATAATAAAATGAGAACAGATAAATCAACTGAAAATGTTAAAAATAAAATCTAAGGGCTGACGATTGAGTGTGTTTGCTTTTCTTTTATTATTTTTGTTTGTTTGTTTGTTAAATATTGACTGTTTGCATTCTTTTATAAGTGCACAAAAACAGAACGTGCATAAACATAAACTTTCATGGATTGATTAGCTTCGGCATTCATTTTTGAATATTTTTTGTTTTCATATTTCGTGTGTGTGTGTGTGTGTGTGTGTGTGTTTTTCCTACTGAATCGCATTACATAATAAATGAATCCACGGTATTTTATTGACATTTTGTTGTTGTATGGTACACCGTAAAAGTAGTAACTATTACATGTAAAATTTCACGCATAACTAAAGTCTTGAATGATTACAGACTCATTGCTATTTCATGATTTATCATCATTTTCTTCTTCTTTTAGATAGTAGTAATTAAATAATAGTATTATATATATATTTTTAGTTATTTCAATTCGTTTTTACTTCTATTTTTTCTTTCTCTATTTGATTGGGCAAACTATAAATTCTATTTACTCTTATGTTTTGTGGATTAATTATCCCGATAATTCTTGCACATTTTTTCTACAGAGTTGTAAAGTCTTTTCAGTGTGGCGTGGACAATAAATTCGATGAATATGTTTTTTTGCTAAGCAATTTTGAATGATTCGATGAATTTGGCTCGTCACGTTGAATCCGTTCCAGCGATCAATCGATCGATCAGACGATTTACGAGTGTCCGGGCCACAATATCTCCAACATGCCATGAAAAAAACTTGCGTGTTGTGGTTCATTTCTATTGTTTTACTTTTTTTTTTTTGTTGAATTCACATGTTGAGATCAACAACGTTGAGGGGAATATTTGATGGACTTTTATCATAAAATTCCCCGTATATATGCTATCTTTTTATCATTTTTGTGCTCGATTTTTAGATTTTACAAGCGTTTTTTATGTTGCCATTGGTAGCTTTCTTTTAAATAATTTTAAATGTTCCTATTAAATTAGAGAGTTTTTTTTAGTTGTGATTTTTTTGCCTGGTTTAACCGCGATTTCATCATCACACGGATTTTTGTTTGTTTAAACTTAAAATTAATTTTATATATCTTTTTTTACATGAATGGTTTTACCCGCAATTATTATTTTTTTATTTACGGTACCGATAAATGTTTTATAGTTGTTGTTTTTTTTTCTTCAGTAAATTGTCTACATATTTTCGGTCGATTTTGGTATATTGTAAGCAAATGATGCTAGATGTTCTGTTTTTGACCGATTACTTTTTTCATTAACAGACACTGAGCTGATTAAAATATTGTTGCACTCTTAGACTTTTCAGTTTCATAAAATCATTGTGCCAAACACTTTTGATCAAAATACATTTTCAAACTATCGCCGATTAAATTCACACACAAATTTTTTTAGCATCGTAAGCAATGTTACAATGTATATATAGATAGTTTTCTTTTCTTCTATTTATTTTAAATGTGATTTATGTTTATCTTTAGTTTTCTCACTGTCTTCAAATGTCTCTTTTTTCAACACTTACCACTAAAAAAAATGTTTTACATTTTCAAAATGTTGCAACTTTTGCAAATTATTTGGCTTAATTTATTTTTTTTTTTTCACGTTTTCTTATCTGCACGAGATGAAACGAAGTTTTTTTTCGCAAAAAAACGCTCTTTAGATTATTTATAATTTAATTTGGCTCGTTGGCCATGATTTGAATGATTGAATTATGCATTATTTTGTTTTAGTTTTGTTTTTTTAGGGAAATGGTAAGAATTAGAATTTAGTTATAAGCCGATAAATCGGTTGAATCGATATTGCCAGCCATTTGTCGGTCGTCTGGCAACCCTGTAAATATCGAGGAACCATTTGATTTTCTGGATGCACAAATTTGCAAGAAACCAGAATTGCCCGATATTGAAAATAGCTAGTTGTAGGCATAATGTAAAAGCTGATGATGATATTTATATGTATATGCACATTTTTTTGTTTGTTTGTTTGTTTGAAGTATTAATGATTTTGATGACGTTGACTTGGTATGTAGGATGTGTATATCATTCGCGCTGCGATGCATTGTCGTGAATTCAATGATTCACTAAAATCGATATTATTGTCCGCCGAAATAGTGGGCACGGCCACATTTCACTTCCTCCCAAGCTAATTGGATTGAAATTTAAAAGGGAACCATTAATAAGCAAAACAAAAACCGAAAACAAATTATCGATTAAGTGTTTATTATTGTTTAAATTTAAACTTTGGTAGAGAAAGAGAGAAAGAAATGTCGTACCTGAGCCAACGAAGTGAACGATGTCGTTGTGATTATGATTGTGTGGGACGAACGCTCCTCGGGCCTCAACATGGTTAGCGCCTTTGTGAGAAACATTGGCAGGATGAGAGTTTACGGGAACAATCTCATTCTCCATTGATGACAGTTTATTTGACGATGATACCACTTTCGGTCCTGCTAAATTACATAAATCTCATTAAAATTGAGCGTTCGTTGTACGATATTGTTGCACTCACCATTCGCAATGGTATCTATCATTTGATTATTAACATTATCATAGGTAATGATACCCTTTTGTTGGTAGTTTGCAGTCGGTTGATTGTTGGTAGTTTTTGAAACTGTGTTATGTACATTATTTTGGGCGTTCAACGATTTAGTGTTGGCAGCGACATCATTGTGTTGCGCTTTTATAACATCAACATCGACACTATGCCGATTTTTGTCGTTCATTTGCAAATTTATGTTGTTATTCAAACTATCTGAATCACAAATCGATTGCGTGACACCAACAGCTTTGGCTGTTGTTGTGTCGCCTAAACTAATATTATTGTTAATCATATTATTGTTATTATTTAATGATTGGTTGCTAACTACATCACTGATTTTATTATTGACATTAATTTTGTTTAAACTTGTTTTCTTTGTTACGTTGCTCTTTCTATTCGATAGCTCTGTGATTGTGCTATTTCCAACGTGATTTTCGCCGAAAACTTGATGATTATTAATCATCTGAAAAGAAAAACACGAAGCGGACATGACATATTGTATTAAATTTTCTCGAACGGTCTTATATGTAACACAAAATGGTTTTGAATTTGTATTTTTTTTTCTTCAAAAATTTACCTCATGAGATTCAGTCGGAACAATGGTGCGCGGTTTGTTTGCGGAAGCGTATCCTGGATCGGATTGTGAAGACATCATCGGTGTATGAATATTTGGTTTTGGTTGATTGCAATCGTTCGTTGCATAATTATCGGCACTTTCAAATGCTGTCAAACAATTGGTGGCGGACGTATCGATGATCGATGTTGGACCATTTGCTGCCCCATCAACCACATGATTTTCAACCTCTTGCTTCATCAGCTGCAGAATGTCATCATTGAAGTCACCAAATAGTAACGGGCTCATAATTTCATTACTCATTTGATGTTGACTGAAAACGACAGCATTTTGACGCGACTTTGGAAAAATAGAAGAAGAAAAAAAACGCATACGTTATGGCTATATGACTTAAAAACAACATAATGTTCAAAATTAAGCAAACGATTGTTTGTGATGGACAAAAGTCGATCAATGTCAGTGGCAAATTGATTCTTTAGACTTACCGTACGCTGTGGCTGGGTGTTGACTGGTTGTTGATGTGTCTTTTTGGCTTTCTTAATATTGATCGGAGCAAATAAATTGCTTGAGTCACTATTAGCGATCTCCTCAGCCTTTGCACTGTTTTGGACAAACTGTAGTTTGGAGCTGAATGCATCCACTACATGTTTATTAGTATTATCGGTCTTTTCTTCAATGGGTTTTTGCAATTTATTTGTATGCTCCTTTGGAGCATTTGTTTCGGCGGTCGATTGCGAAGATTTCTTTGTGATCGGTGGCTTGGCCACTTTTTCATTGGTTGTCATTGTCGAAATGCACACCATCGTCACGGGTGTTATTGGTGGTAGCGGTGGTGGTGAGGCTACTACAACAGTGGCTGCGGTTGATGTGGATGGTTGTGATGGTAGCGATAACGGCGGTACGGACAATGATGGTGGCGGTGATGTGAGTACTGATGCAAAATTTGGCTGTGACTTTTGCGGTTTGACTGTTTTTTCCAATCCCGGAAATTGATCCATGCTCATGTTTGTCGTGTACTTTTCATTGTCGCAACTTTTTGATTTTTGCAATTGATTCTTCACATACTCGCCAAGTTTTGGTGTGTCCATCGTTCTTGAATCGTCGGAATTCGAAGGCGATTTCTCTTCGTTTGACGAAGATGCTTTTATTGTGTCATGTGATCGATTGGATGCTTGACTCTTTGAACTAACTATACTGCTGCTTGTGCTGGTATTCGAATTTTCCGGTGATTCGCTATTCTTTCCGTTTTGTGAAACCGATGGCCATGCATTCACATTCGACAATTTGTCGGGCTGTTGATTTGCTTTGCGTGCCATTTCTGCATACGATATGATTGATGATGTACAGCCGGTGGTCGATTCAATTGGTAACGAATGAACCGAATCGAGATCACTTGAATCGGATTTATCGGATGGTGGCACTGACGATGTGGATTTGCGACGATTTTCCTTGGTCATTAGCGAATTCACATAGATATCACGATCATTTGTGTAGGTGCTGCTCGGTTGATATTTTTGTGAGCTGTTCGATGTGTTATTGTTTGATTGGCGACCATGCAATTGGGTTTGATCACGTTGGCTCATTTGTTGTTTTGCTTTGGCCTCTTCAATGATTTGACGCTTTTTCGTTTTCTTCTTTTTGGTCACCACATGAAATTCGGCTGCTTCAACGTTCGTTGGTATCGACTCAATAGACGCATTGGTCGATACAATATGTTCGGTTTTTCGATTGTTTTTCGTATTTGGTTTGGTTTCTTTGTGTTTCTTTGTTTCACGTTCGTCTGACGTTTCGAAATCGTGGAGCTCTTCAGTGCCCCATGAACGACGTTCGCCACGTTTATTGTTCGATTGCTTTGAATTATCGGTTGATGTTGTTGTATTTCGTTTTTGTGCATTTTGCATTTGCTTTTGTCGCAATGAAACCTGAGCACGTTCCGATTGAGCAATCTCCTCTTCAATCTTGCTACTACTTTTTAGCTCTTCCATTGATGTGCTCTTTTTCAGTCGATTTACTTCTTTCTTTTTATTATCTATGTTCTTCTTTTCCTTTCGATTCGTACGCTCTGTCGCGCTGAGATTGTTGTTGGTCTTTTTTGTTGTGTCCGTATTTTCAATAAAAGCCACAATCGAATCAATATTGTAGTCGATACCTGTTGGCACAGTCCAAGTCGTTGTATTACGATCCGCTTTATTGCTGCGCTTTGGTTTCAGTTTTTGAGTTGGAGGATTTGCTAGCAGTGGTATAGTTGTGGTTGGTTTTGCTAGAATCGCATTACCATTTTCATCTAGCTTATTTGTGTTCACCTATTTGTGTAAAGAAAGAATAAAAATTAATTAATTGACATTCACCAATTGCTCGCTGGCTATGAATAACACAAACCTGTGGTGGATTCAATGGGACGTGTCTAGTGGGTGCATATTTCGGATCAATTGAACTTTTTGTGTACACCTTGCCACTCAATGATGCCTCACTGATTGTTGGAGATGAATATTTCAAGAAATGGATCGGTGTATCAACGGAACAATTTTGCCGTGACGCTTCGCCGAGGTCTTTTACATTGGATAAATAGTTCATTGTTGCCTGACGATGTTTTTTCAATTGTAATAGTTCGGTACCATCCTCTCTATGTACTTCAGATGTATCCTAATCAATTTTGGATGTCAAAAAAACAAAATAAATCACCAACGAACATAGAATTTTTGTCGCATAACAAACCTGAGCTAAAGAATCATGTGCTAACAAGTGTCTGGTCTCTTCTGGATCATCAATATTAATTATGGTGTGATTTTTATCGTTTGCATTTATTACAGACGCAGATGTAGATGCTATTGATGGTTGACTTTCTTCGCAATAGCTCACACTTTCGCCAATAAATGCAGGTCGATGATGATTGCTGAGTGGGTGTCGTTCATAGTCGTGCGATTCCAGCTTATTTTTGGCGCAATTTTTTGCATTACCTTTTGAATATTTGGAGAGTGGAAACGTCGATAGCGAGTAGGTGCTCGACGAATTTACATTATTTGGTAAACTGCCACCTTCGCGTTGCCGTGACGATACGGATGACAAATTTTTGGTGTATCGTGAATTTTGCTGATGACGACGCGATTGCGGTCCCAACATGTAATCACTATCTAATAACTGTTCATTGTTAGCACTATCGACTAGATCCTGTAACGAGCCACCAGTATGGTGTCGACGGCTATTTCCACGAAACTGGCGCGTCGTAAAAAATGTGTTTTTCTGTTGATCTTCGATTTCAACTTTATGTAGTAGCTCCTGTTAATCGAAATTCCACCAAAATGGTTAGTATCGAAATTGCATCAAAACATTAAATTAGAATAAAATCTCGAAATATAAAAGTCAAAAAAAAAACCACCGTCAATGTCTAACATACCTTGAATATTTCACTTTTGTTTTCTTTATCTTTTGGTCCTTTGTAAGAATATGCTTCATCCAGTAGGTTCTTTAATTCATAGTCATCCAAATCTAAATTCTGTCGAAAAAATAAATAAAATAAAACGAGTTAATTAGTTGATTCAGAGTGATTACGGTTAATGGATAACACGTTGAACGAATAAATGATAAGACGTTTTATTTTGGCATGATTTATGTTTTGACACCATTGCCAAGAATATGAAAGAAAAAAAATCGAGTTAACAAATTGATAACATTTGTCGATTAATTAACACAAATGCACCGTTTTTGGTTCGCAAATATTCTTAACTAGTGCGGTTCGAATGAGTAAACTTCGACATTTTTCATGGCATTTCGTGCAGATCTTTTCTACAATATCATTTGCAATACACAATAGCACATGTTTCATGATTTCTCTACCTATCTCTCTTTTTCGCCTCTTCACTATGTGCTGCAGTCATTGAGCGCAACGTTGTTGGTTCTTTCAAACAAAAATCGCCAATTATATGCTTCTTTACTGTTTGAAGCGAAACGTTTTCTCACGTCATAAAATCTCAAAATATCACATTTACGAAACTGACCGCGAAAAATTTCAACTTAATCTACACACGAAAAATCTAATAACGAGGAAAACATTTACACATGAAAATCCATGAATAAATTCCGGTAATAAATTTGTAAAGCTAACAAACGGAACTGATTGATTGTCAAAACTTGGTATTACTGGAATTTGTTGAAGAAAAATGAACGAAACTCAGCGAAAAGTACATTTTATTCTCTAGATTTCCAAGTGATAATGTCCAAAGATTATTGACGATTTTTGTTTGTTGTGTTTCACCTTTGGAATCTCAGCAAGATATTGATTTCTTCAAACAAACTTAAAGTGATCGTGACGACGACAAGAAGACGGTGACAGCTCAGCAAATGAAACATATTAAGGTAATAAAAGCCATAGAATTTATGATATTAAACAGAAACAAAAGCCCTCATCCGTTCCCGTACATACTGAATCCGTAGAGAGAGAGAGAGACCGTATGCAAATATGTAATTTGGTTGAATCGACAAAAAAAACCATCCAGCAACATACACAAAAAAAGAAAGAAAACGAACGAACGAACGCTTTCTCGCATTTGCTTCACCGTGTCATTTGGCCGTTCGTACATTCTACCACCATCACAGTTGGATTTTGTTCAAGTGTTCACGAGCGCTTTACAGCTATCGCATACAGTACGCCCAAATGTAAGCCACTGAAACACTTAATTAATATTGTGTATTGTGTAAATATGAATTGTTATGGTGGTCGTGGCTTGTTGGTTGTCATTGTCACTTATTAACGCAATCGGCATTTTTAGTCTGTTTTTCTTTCTGTTTTCGGTCATTCAAAGTTACTTTCATGCCCGTGACTTCTTACATTGCATTGCAGTTATTTCTAGAAATATTTATTTCGAATAAATTGAGGGGTTCGACCGAAAAAAAATCAAATACAAAATATATAGTTTCAACCAGAACGCTAATCGAACGGTATTTTAATCAAATGAACACCAACAAAACAAAATTAAATAAAATCCAATTACTCAATGTGTATCCAAATTATAGATCGAACTCAACTGTGCTACCGAACGGTGTCTTTGTGTGTGTGTGTGTGTTGCGACCAATTTTAGCAACAGCATATACACACTAGCTAAATGAAAACTTAGAATGACCACCGACTAATTTTTTTTTCTTGATGCGAGATTTGATCCGAATGACAATTTGGGAGAAAAAAAACACTCACATTTCGAATTTTAATTCAATCCAATCGAAACGACACCAAAAATCGTTACACTGTTCACCAATAAAAATAAATTATGATCGATTTTCAATTGCGAATGTTCAGCTGACTTAGATTGCACGGTCGTAAATGCCGATCCCAAGCAATTGCTTTACGAACTTTTTTTTCTTCGTTCTGTATGAACTTTTACTGAGCTACTGGCTCATTTGGTTTTGCAACAAGTCACACACAAACACTAGCTCAGTGAACGGAGCGAGAGAAGAAGAAGAGAAGAAAAAAAAGAACGACAAACACACAGAGATTCCTTACGTCATTTGTCTACCAGTGCTGCTGAAAGTGGCCATGTTTGAATTTATTTATAATACTTTTTTCTGTGTTCCTTCTATGTGTCATTCTCTGTATTGCTTATGACTGTAGAGCTGAATGCGAAACCATACTTACTTATTTTTCATGGATATTTTATTCGATTTTAATTCATGAAATGAAGAAAAAAAAATACTCAAGTCGCACTGCCTCAATGTGTCCTCTATATAACTCGATGTGATTTTTTTTCAACTACAATTTGAACATCATATTCTTGAACACACTTCAATTACTAATGATTATTATTGCATTTGCTTCTAGTATTGCCCACGGGATTTAGATTGATGGGATTTTTTTTCTTTCGTTTTTAAAATAGAAAATAATCCGAATGTAATTTCACCATGAAAAAAATGATTTAAATACGGTGAAAACTGTCATTGAAATGGTATATGCTCAGCCGCATAACGAATATATGTAGAATATTCCAGTGTTGTTTAACTGTCATGTAATTTTGATGCGAAAAATGAGTCAACAGCACTTTGTTAGATGTAAAATATGTAAAAATGAACAATTTCTTTCACTTGCATCAACCTGCCGAACCAAATGCTTTTTATTTCTTCAATTTTTTTTTTACATCAAATTCAGTTCCAATATTGATGGCAATTGTGAATTTAGGAGCCGAAACAAAAACTCAAATCACAAATTTTCTCAAATAAATTTTCGTGACTGTGACACAAACAAAAATAAACTCACTGAAAAAATGAGTCCCAAACGAAATTTGTGTAAAATGAAAAATTCAATCAAATCAAATGGTAAAAGAAACAAAAAATCGCCGTTAGACCAAAAATCACTTTGCAAGAATCGAAACGAATGTACAAATTGTACACTTTAAGCGAGTGAAAAAAAAACTGGTGTAATGTTTAAAACTGCAACTTCATTGCCCATATTCGTACTTGTTATTCACAATACATCTGCACTTATTCCGTCGCACACAAAATTCAATCTACGCATACCATATCATTAGCGTTACACAGTGGCAGACACAGATTGGCACACATATACCATTGTGCGGTGTGACGATCAGTTTATATTATACTACAATTACACATTCGCATGCATATACATTCAAAAGTCGCTATTCACACACAACATGTACTCCGGATGGTATGCATTTGAATGCGAGCGAGAGAGTGAGAGAGCGGGAGAACGAACAAAAAATAAAACAAACTATGTACAGTGTTCGCATTCAAATGAAGGAGAGTGAATGCAATGGAAATATAGGACCATATATACAGTCGTGTGCTGACAATCAAGTGATGACAAAAAAAAAATTATCGTGGTGCTCGTGCCCAATATACGACACATTTATCGGTGGTTTATTAAAACATACAATAAATGTATAGGTTGTATGTTGCGTTGGTGTATTTGTGCGTGTACGAATTCACGTACGAAACGAAGAAACGAAGAAACTGAAATGTTCTGTTTGCCTCAATTGTAAATTTATATTTGTATAAATGTTCATGTATATAGCATTCGATTGAGTCGCGGTTTTCGCTGCTTCATTCGCAGTCTCATTTATTCTGGTCAACGCAAAAAGAAAATGTGCATTTTAGCAGTTGATGCATTTTCATATTATTATTATGATTATAATTATCATTATTTTGTGTGTTACCTTTGTGACTTGCTGTGTTGAATTGCCCGCTTTCGGTGCATCTCGTGATTGCTGTTGCTGTTGAGTCTTGGTCGCCGTTGATGATGACATTGTGTCGCATGTAGTGTCGTTTGTGTTGGTTGCCGATGCATTGGATGTCTTTGACGATGTTGTTTCCCATTTGTCAGGAGATTTCAATTGACCGAGTTCTGAAGAAGCCAAGCTTGATCGCTTAACCGACGACATTGAGAAAGTGCACGAATGATTTGTTAAACAAAACGACAATACAACAAAAAATCTGCTTGCCAATGGCAACCGTGCACTTGTTTCGTATGGGCGTTCAAAGTCTCTGAGGTCTCTGATAACAAGAGTTGATTTTAATGTATTTTAATCACACTGTCTCCCGTATGCGTATCACGATCAAATAAATATGAAATCCAATAAGACAATATTATCCTATCTAAAACTATTAAAACTTCAGTTCAATTATGGAGTAAACGAGTATTGCTCCAGATTGAACGCTGGCTCTTTATTGATTGATTATTATAAACTTCGAACCGAAATGAAAAACTGTCTATGTTATTGCGTGTTTAAACAAAGTCGTCAGAAAGCATCTGACAGCAGCAAACTTTTGCCTGTATTCACCATATTCATGTCAATCAAGCAGTCAGATGGAAATGGTTTTTTTTTTCTGTTTCGCTGATGGTATCTTACAATACAAAAGCACAGCCGTGTGTTCCTAAAATGCAATACAGTCCTTTTTACGACGTACACAAATAGCCTCCATCCAAATACAATTTGAATATATGATTTATTTTTTCGTGAACAAAATGCGTATGGTGGCCACTTTTGGGCTCTTTAAACACGACAAAATATCATTGTTGGCATGTCCCCATTGACGCCATTTCGTAGTTGTATGCTACTTTTCTGCTCTCTCCCCTTATATTTGAGATTCGCTTGTTAACTTTTCTACACACTTTTCACACTGTACAATCAATTTGATTCTTTTTCTCAATTCTTATTTATTTTTTGTTGTTCGATCGTATATTTTGACTCTTTCGTAATGGAAAATATGTGCAGTACTTCGGTGATTTTGTCTTTTTTCTTCTCTCTCACTTTTCAATCACAATCAAATTGTCGACCGCAAAACTGAAAACCAATAGTTGTAATTCGAAATGGAACAAAATAAAAGTCAGATTTAACCTAACCAAAATTCGTTGAAAGAATCAAACACAACACAAAATAATAAAATGAAATCTGTATTCTCGAAATCGAAAGAGTTTTTGCAATACGTCTTTTATTTTATGTCCATTGAATGAAATTCTTTATTGTTCCTCACTTGTCTAACACACTAATTCACTGTCGATATATTTTCTGCTAATTTCAACTACGTATGAAAGATAGACACAGGCTGAAAACGACCATGTCCGAAATTTTCTATTAAACTGAACTGGAAAATACAACAATAAAATCGACGACAGTTTTTCGAGAGAGGTGCCCATGTATCTGTGTGCAAATGTGTTGGGCGATTCGCCATGTTAATTTTTATGCCATCGCACATAGTGTATGTAAAATGGGTGTGTTTGTGTTGGTTTCCATACCAGTGAACCAGAAGTCTTTGAAAACATTGATCTGATTAAATTCAAGGATTGTTCAACAGATGGCACAACCGAGCAAATTAATTTGCGTTTTACACTTTTAACGCATATGATTGATTGCGTTATTGTTCGCAAATTGTTTGTTCTGATTAAATAAACGCAAATTTTCAGCAAATAAATTGTATAGCATAAATTTATTGTATGTTTTGGTAAATACCGTGCACCGAAAGGTTGGTACTGCCCGATTAGACATCACATAAAGTAGTCCAACATCGATTGGATACATACAGTCTGACATATTATTGACAAACTAATACTATCAAACGCATGTAGCCGATGACAGTCTATTTTCGGAGTAAATAACATCGAATGATTTTCAGTTGCATTGTATTTGTGTATCCGTTTTGAGAACGTTGTGTATATACAGATTTTGTGAATCACGATTGCGATTCCAGAACAAAAAATTGACAAATTCTTGTGAAATTATTTTTAAACCACACAAACAAAAACAACCGCTAGAAACAATGACCGACGTGGCTGAAAAAGAGAATATTTTCTTATTTATTCCAAATTTGATTGGTATGTATTTAACGCGCAGATTTTTCCAGTCATTTTTCGCAACTGCGTCATTGACTTCAGTTTCAGTGACTTTCAATTGAATTGCTTACGCTTTTATAACTGATGTGTTTGATCGACCTTTTCAGGCTATGCACGAATCTTTTTGGCGATCGTTGCATTCTATTTTATGCAAACGAATTACATTATTGCTGGATGGTGCTATATAATCAGCGCACTTTTGGATGCTATCGATGGTCATGCAGCTCGTGCATTTAATCAAAGTAAGTGTTGTTGTTTCGATGACCTTACATTCATTTCATTTTAATCAAATTAGGCAATGTTGAATTTGTGTTGTTATTGACTGACGTAATAAACGTTCGTGCATTGATTTATATTTAATTGCAGGTACCAAATTGGGTGCGATGCTTGATCAATTGACAGACCGTTGTGGAACGGCAGGTTTGTTGGTTGCCTTGAGCTACTTTTATCCGGGCTACATGTTCTGGTTCCAAATCTCATTGGTTATTGATATCGCATGTCACTGGATTTACTTGCAATCGTTAGTATTGATTTTATGTGTTGCTGCCCAAGCACAATTTTATTAATTGGATTTTCACGTGTTTTTCTTTCTATTTCAGCACCACCATGGCGGGCAAAACATCTCACAAATTGTTTGATCCAAATGAAAATTTCATCATGCGTCTTTACTATCAAAAAGATGTGCTCACATTCATGTGTTTCTTCAATGAAGTGTTTTATAGCGGTTTGTATTTGCTACATTTCACCACTGGACCAACAATTCTTGGCATTTCACTTTTCAAAGTCTTAACAATAATTGCATTCCCTGTTGCCATTGCCAAGGCTGGAATCTCATTGTTGCATGCCTATGTTGCCGCTCAAAACATTTCCATTATCGATGTAAACGAGCGTGAAGATACTCGCAAACGAAATGCTGCCAAAAAACCAGAATAAATCACATACCACTGTGTAAATACAGTGCAAATGCCAATCCAATCAATTAAATTAAGGCATTAATCAATATGCTCATATTACTAATATCATCATATCGATCAGATAAATGATTTGTGATGCACTCCTGTCATTGATGTTGTACGCTCCTTTGAACCGACCCCATTTCATTTTGTTACATTGTCACATCCATTTAGAGTAATTGTTCTTAAGGACACTTGTAATTTATTTACTTAGAAAGATCTAGTCATTCCAATGATTGAAAATATACATTGTTTTGGAAGGCAGGGAAAGTCAGTAGCTAAAATGACCAAATTTACCATTCCAGACATGAATTGAAAGTGTCATGCATGGAAAAACTTTGAGAATAAATGGAACTTAGATCTGAGGAAATCGGCATTTGTGTCTAGATTATGTCCACAATCTGAATTGTATATCTTATAATTAAGTTTGAGTTTAATGTTCAGAGATAAAGATATTCATTCGAAATTAAAACATAGCACTAACACATACACACAATTCTGATCAAATCGATTCCGTCACTGACTATTCTAGTTTTGGACACATTTATATTCAAATACCAAATTCTCAATTATGTACTTCTAACAGAAGAAATTACTTCAAATCGCATATGTATTTATATACGGAAAAATTATGATAAAAATCAATAGCAAACAGATAAATGTGGATTTTCATTATAATTAAATAAATATACGTATGTTGGAGATATTTGTGTTTTTTTTTCTTCAATTTTGATTTTCAGAACGACCAATTGAATCTGATTTAATTTGTTATTTGATTTTGTCTAGTATTTAGTAGCCTTTTTAAAATTTGTGTAATTTATTCAAAATTGACAAATTCCTTTACAAAATAAGTGATCAACAGTAGATTGTAGAACAGAAAATCCCATTCAACTTAACAAACAACAATATTCAACACAATCTTTATCTAATTTGCATTCACAATCAAAAGTCTAGTGAATTAACACTTCAATCAAAATCTCAAAGTTTATTCAAAGAAATAGTCATTCTTTATTAAAAAAAATCGTTTATTTTCATTCTCATTGACCAGTCCTTATAAGAATTGGTAACAAACTTGTTTTGTTATTCGTTTTTCGATAAAGATTCATTCAGTATGCAACAAATTTTGTTGGTTCGATTACAATGTTTTTTGTTTTGTAAAATAAATGTTTATAAAAATGATATTTGAAATATGGAATGGTGCAATTAAAATTCAAAAATAAACACAATTGTGGTGAGTATATGGCTAAATATAGCAATCAAATCAAGCAAATTACAATTAAAGTTTACGGCATTCTTATTCCGCCATTTTTTGCTGTTCCAACCGAGCCACTGAAACGAAAAAAAAGTCAACATTTTGATGAATGCCATTTTTAACTCGAAAAAGAACTATCTTTTAGTTTTATATGCATGTACCTTCTTCTAATTCCTTCTGTTTGGCCATGACAAGTTTTCGAGCTTCCACAAACTTTTTGTATATATTATCGACCGGCTTTGATTGTTCTTGATTATCAGATGACTTTGACACTGAAATAAAAAAAGAAAACAATTTGACGACTACACCTTATATTTGATATTAACAAAATTACCATCGCAATGGTTTGTTTCCTTCGATATCGATGGTTCCTTTGATATTGATGGTGCTGGCTGCTTCGGAATCTTAAACGATGTTTGTTCTTTCGGCGTAGATGATGTCGGCTTATCTTTCACACTTTGTGTCATCGGCGATACTTGATCTTTTGCTTTGACTGCAGATTTTGACGATTTGTTTGACATAGCCAATATCGAACTGTGAACACTTCGAGCAATTTTTCGTGCCGGAGGAGACACTGACGTTGTGTTTGAGTCTTGTCTTATTTCGGATGGCAAATCTATTGTGCTTCGTCGTTTTTGTACCTTGCTGGATAGACCAACCGGTGGCTTTGTCATAAATTGACCAAAATCATCTTCTGCATCGCTACCGGGGAGCACTAAAACTAAAATGAAAAAAAAAAATGTATGAAAATCATGTCAGATTTCATTGTCAAATAAGAAAATTCAGTAAAAAAAAATTTACTCGGCATCGATGGGAAACAAATGGGTTTCGGTTGTTCAGTTGGACGTTTTATTGGTAGATTGTTCGATGTCGATCCTTTTTGAAGGTTATGCTCATTACGAATAATGTACTGCTTAATCATGTCAAACTGTTCACTCGTTTCATCTCGCCATTTCACAATCGAGTCAATCAAAACACATGCTTGTGAATTGACTTCGGCCTTCGATTTGACAATGAAATCGTGTAAATCGTCGTTCGATTTCTAAAGAAAATTCACCAATCATTTAACGTGTGAATGATTTAACAAAAATTGAGTAAATTTAAAATGAAAATAGCTTACCTTCGGCTTTCGGATTACAACTTGTCTTGACGATGTTTTGGAGTCAATCGATGATTTGGATTTCTTATTTACCGATATATTCAGACCCCATTTATTTTTTTCGGATGAAAATAGCTTCGACATGATGTACGTACCAAATTCAAGTTGTGCGTGAAATGATGCAATGAACAGACTTGCGACGCTCAACAATCGGTTTGATTTCAAACAAACCAACTACATGTACAAACACACTTGCCAATTTTGTGCGCCTCAGCATTTAGAGAGAGAGCAGACAAATACAATGAACTGTGTGACATTTAAAAGTGTGTGTAAATTTTGTGTACGTGGTAAATTTGAAAATCAAATTCAAAATATCTTACCAATGTGATTTTTGAATTTATTCATATCTTTGCATGTTTCAAAATCAAATGATATTTGTTAGTGGTACTGAGATCTTTTCTTCTCACTTCAGAGCAAACATTTTATTTCATTTTGTCAACACAAACATTCTATTGTAAACAACTTTTATATACAAATTGAATGGTGTTTAACGGTCAGTGACAGTTCGTAAGTATTAGTATCGCTGTTGCCTGAAGTCGTTCAACTTGTCGGATAGTCAACGCAATTAGAAGAGTTTGAGGAACACGTGCAAAAATAATTCTGAACTTTCTTGACGATTTTTTTTTTCATTTGACTATCAAAATATACTGAATTCAGAGATTGCAAAAATGGCAAATCCAATTCCGGTTCTCGATAGCGATGAAGAGGTTCAATACATCAAAAAAGCCAATTGTAAGTAGACACACTGAAGTTTATCAAAAAATGGATTCTCTTCCAATCCCAACTCTTCCAAATGCAATATTTTGGTCGTTTTTTTTCTCAAGAAACATGATTTTCCCTTGAATTTGTCCTAATTTTAATTATCAATAATTTACAAAATATGGTACAATTCCGTTCTATTCATGCATTTTTTTTTGTGTTTTGTGTGACAGCCATACAATTCGGCGTCAACAACAATGATGACAATAAAGACTTTTATGCCCGACGAGCTAGACGTGATAACGTAATCGGTCCATGGCAGCCATGTGAAATGCTGAAGATGGTTGAAAATGTCGATAAATCAAACGAAAAATTGTTTATCGTTCGGTATTATCGTGATCTACATAAAAAGGATGTACCGGAATACGAATTGGCCAGTCGAAAAATACCAAAGCCTGTTGAATTGCCGATTGGTACTCGCATTATTGGTAAGCACAATATTTTTCTTGCCTCTTTTAATGAACAACAATTTTAATTGATGCAATTTCTTAGCACGTCGACGTTCCGATATATTGCCGTACTTGATCGATGAATCCGGTCAAAAAATTCTTACGTTGTATAGCACCGATACCCAGTACTACCCGGCTATCGTTGCTAGCTTCTATGATCAACGTTTCATGGTGTTTTTCGATGATGGCGTTGTACAATTAACGAAACTGAAATACATACGTCGTGTTCTTGGAAACACCCGATTTGATCATGGTATGGAACTTGTGGAAATTTTCGATATTTGAATGTTTCTAATTATTTTTTCGTGTTATTCTAAACTTTTGCTCAGCTCACTGGAATGCAAAGTCATACTTTGAATGGTTTTTAAAGCAACCACATCGATTGGAGGTCAAAGATCCGGAAATTGGAATGGACCTGAAGGTCGAGTTAAATGGTTCGAATGAAAATGCCAAAGTGTTGAAAGTAGAACATTCATTGGCTCACATTTATTTTGAAAAACAGAATCGATACGAATGGATCTATTTGGGCAGGTAAATGAGACAAAATTTGTGTATTTTCATATCCATTTTCAGTTTTTATTTATAAAAAATTATAACTTTAGCCCACGCATCACTCGCGTATACCGCGAATTAATTAAACAAAAGAAATTGGATGATCTGATTGACTTCAAGACGTTTAAAACATGTCTCAGTGCCGCTGATGATATCGTTCTGATCGATCCAGTTGATGAGCCAGAAGAGACGAATGTTGAGATTGATGAAATTGGGCCGGCCACAGCAAGTCGTGCCACGAAAGCACCAAAAACACATAAATGCTCGCACGAATGTGTTCAATTTGAAGATAAGATCAAACTTGGCGACTATAGCATACTTCAGCGGCCATTCGCTACAGGTTGGCACCGAAATGTGAATAAAAAGGTTATTTACCGAGCCCCGTGCGGTCTATCACTCCAAAACATTAAATCCGTGCACAAGTATTTGACGAACACCGACTCAAAGTTGAACGTTAACTCCTTTGAATTTAACAAAAACTGTGAAATAGCACCCATTGATACGGACACGGCCAAAGACACAGTCAAACCGAAGGTAACTTTAAAAAATGTGTCATGTTTTATTCTTCAATTCAATTTCGATATTCATGTCATTTTCAGGATATTTCACATGGAATGGAAAATTTACCGGTCACCATATGTGGAGAAATGACGTCGGTATCTTTCAACTACACGAAAGATTATAAATTTGACTATATCGACGAAGAGCCAACGAATAACCTTGGTCGTACTGGTTGCGACTGTACCGATTGTAGTGATAAATCGCGATGTTCATGCTTTCAACTGACCATTGAGCGTTTGATGGGCAAATATCCAAGTAAACATGAACTGGATAAAAGTGGCGAGATTGGATACGATTACATGAAGCTCAAGAAGATCGTTAAAACTGGCATTGTCGAGTGTGGAGAAAATTGCAACTGTTGTGCGGAAAAATGCTTGAATCGGGTTGTACAAAATGGATTGCAACACAAACTGGAGCTGTTTTTAACCGATAGCAAAGGTTGGGGTGTTAGAGCGACGACTGATATCCCAGAAGGCGTTTTTGTGTGCATCTATTCGGGCGATATTCTTCATGACAATAAAGTGACTGATAAACGAACAACATTGTATCAATTTCGATTGCCATCATTTCCGATCGATCAGGAATTCGATGCAGATAGCGACAGTGATTCGGATGGCGAGCCCGATTCGAAAAGATTACGTGACGGATCGGACGATGTGATACAACCATTCATTAGTTATTTTCCCACTTTCATGCGGATCGGAAATGCACAACACTTTCCTGATTCCGAAGACTACAAATCACATGGTTACATCATCGATGCATTGCATAATGGCAATTTTTCGCGATTCATTAATGTAAGTAGGTTTTTTTTTTGTTTGAAAAATACATTATGGATTTAAATTGCAAATTTTAACGATTCATTGGATCGTGATTTATCCAATTTCAGCATTCTTGTGATGCAAATTTATTTGCTCAAGCCGCTTACATAAAAGATGATAAACGTTTTCCGAGCATTGCATTTTTCAGCAGTCAATTGATCAAAGCCGGCGAAGAGCTCACCATTGACTATAATTATGAAACGGTGAAAAAGGGCGCAGAAGGACAGACAAGATGCCAATGTGGTACAGCCAAGTGCAGAAAGTGGCTTTTTTAAACACTTTCTATGATGGCTACACATAATAAAACAAGGTTTCTTCGAATAAGATACATAATAATTGTTTTATATTTGATATTTAAACAGAAAGAAAAAAAATTCTTGAACAAAAATTAGTTATAAGTGCATTGGGCTAGTTAATATTGATGTAAATTATCAGAGCCTGAATGCATGAATTAAGGCGACGTACGTTGTACGTTTTTTGCCTTTCTCCTCTTTTAATCGACCAAACTGAAATTAACAAATGATTTTCTTTATATCGTGGCCAATGAATGAATTGCGCCATGTGAATACGGTATAATTTTGAGATGTAAGTGGATGAATACTCTTAAAATGTACTATTAAATGTTTTCCCTTGAAATAAATGATATTGAAATAAAGAATAAAAGGGAAATATTTTCTTTTTTAAAAAAACTCATTGGACAACAGTGAGCAGCAAAACGTTGCAGCGAAATGGTGAAATATAGAAAATATAGAAAGTCCGTTGAAAGAACGTTAAAATTCAAAAAAAAACCAAATAATTCGATGCCTTAGTTGATCGTTTCTTCTACGTCGTTTCAGTGTTGTTGTTATCAAACGTTGAGTTCTGTATTGTTTAGGACGTTTTGCTTGTTTCTCATTGGCTGTGACTGTCATTGAAACATGTGTTTGAACGTATCTATGAACGCATATATGTTCGCATCACGCACCACCAGTATCGGCGATATGCGATTTGTCCCAAACGGCAAGCACAACAACCGATTGACATATCAACTATTACTGTGTCTCATCAAAACCATATTTGTTTCGATCTCTTGAATTTTGAAAATATTTTTATCGTTTCGGTTGCACAAAAAAAACAACATAATTTTTTATTACGTTTGACCATTTCATAGACTTCAATAAGAATAACGACGATCTCTGAAATAAATTTACAGAGTAAACTAACAGTGTGAACAGATATAACCGTGATAGCTTTTGTATAATCTGTTGTTTGTAAATTAAGTAGAAATCTCTATGTTTTATTGTGAATTTTGACGCATTCCAAACGAGAAAAAAGAACAAAAAAAAAATGAGGGCATTCACAGAAGCACGAGTCTCGTAAGTAAATTGCAAAGCATAATTATTTTAATGATTTGTTTTGGTAAATGTTGTCAACATATTTTGAGGACGATCTCTGTAAAAGCATTAGTATTTTATCATTTTAAATTTGAAAATTCATTTCATTGCATTTTATGGGATAAATTATTCAGTTATTAATTCAGTTCATTAGGAGTTAGGCGAAACAAAATCGGTTGAGAAAAAAGCGCACGCGTAGTTAGAGAGACAGTGTCTATATTGGCTTGAAGTTGTTGAGTATGTGTGTGATTTGGGACAAGCGCTGCATGTCGTCGGTGTCAATTGGTTAGAATGTTCGTTTCACAAGTATTCTTCTGCTGCACGTACGCATGTATCCGATAGCAGCAAAGCCGTTTCTATCGTTGTGTTTGTGTGTACTATGTATGAACGATTGTTGAGCGATGCGAATGCAGTGAGTGTGTTAGTGTGTACATTTTGAACCAAAATAGCCGTTATTTTTGTTTATTACAATAGAGAGCAATTCATATTACATCGTCTTTTTCCTCCAGTGTGTTGCATGTGCAAAGTGTGAAGGGAATTTGGTTTGATTCCAATTGAAACAAACAACAAATCGTTTAGAAATTTAAAGTCATTTCATAGATGTAGATAATTTTTTTTAGTTTTAAATTGATAAAGTGTTTATATCTTCTTCGAATTAAGAAAATATTAATTTTATCACTATTCCGCCAAATTCCAAAGATAAAAAGTTTACTTGTTGGTAGAGAATTATTTAGTGGGCAAAAATGGCGTGAAATGTAAGTAGAAAAAAAAATTGAAATATTTGCATCAAAATACTTGTGTATCAATTTTATGGTTCCAAAACGGGTTTTTCTATACGTTTTTAACACTTAAAATAATAAGAAATAAAGTCATCCATCATAAGCATTAGCTTTTCCTGCGGCCAACAATTTCAAATTGTATAATTTCTATTGCATCATTTTTTCGTGTATTTTATCAGCACCAATCATATTTTATTCAATTCTATTCTATTCTATTCCATTTCCATGTGCAAGTGAAATAACATCGTATTATTCGATTTGCTTTAGTTGCGAGGATATCATTTATCTAATTTAACGTCATTCTTTCTCAGTATACTTAGGTTGTACGATGTGACAGAACGAAACCAAGTGCCGCCAAAATGATCTGAATCGACATAATTGTATCAGTCGATGCGAAAACTGAACTTTTCTCAAAAAGAAGGTGTCCGCTTCATTGTGTTATACAAGTCACACATACAACCAACTAGTCAAGATCTTTTTCGTTCTCTTGCATGTTTTTTTTTCTTCTTCTCTTCAGCGTTGCTGTCCATCCATTCGTTAATACATTGTTGTTGCCTTTTTTGTCCATTATTATTATGTGATGCAGACTCGGCTATGATATGAACACAATATGTGTTTGTTACAAATTCCATGCAAACAACAATCTCGTTTCCAAAAAATATCATATCAGTATCACTTTTAAATCATGATCAAAGTATGATTTCATTAAATATTCAAATTGGTTTATATTTTCCTCGTTTTTATTCACGTTCTCCCTTTCTTCGGTGTACACCGAACAAATGTGTAGCAAACCAAAATGTGCTCTATATTCTAGTTTTTTTTTGGAAATATATATATATTCCGGGGCTGCCAAACAAATCCGTGCAATTATGTTGCAAATATGTGTTGGTTTCATTCGCTACACTAGCCAAAAAAAGAAGCACAATAAGAGGAAAACAACATGCAAACCCCCGGCCAAAAAGTGATTCATGTTTATTTAATTGTTTGGCTTCTTTCGAATAATTAAAAAATACACCGAGATAAATAGGTTTTGAATGGTTTGTCCCGAAAACCATGTCGGACGGTAGTTGTTTTGTCGGCATTTACTTGACTTGTTGGTCGAAACTTGAGTTGGTATACATATATATATGTATTTTGGCCATATACATGCATTGTTTTGTGTTCAGTCTACTACCTCTTCAAGTGAATTACCACAAAAAAATAATATAACAACAACTAAAATACGATGAGATTGAATGTGCTGTTGTAAAAATGAAAAGGACACATTAAAACCAGAAATGATTTTTTTAAAGTGGCATTTCTACCAAAAAATATATGGAAAAAAATGCAAAACAGCTCATACACAATTGGCTTGAATGAGCAAACAACGGTGCAATAAGTTCTTGTTTTATGTCCTTTCTACACAATCTTCTTCAATTTCTTGTGTTTGCTTGACATTCTTTGTGTAAGATACCGATCCAAAATTCATTTGAACCCAACCAATATTAAAACATATATATATTTCTCTCGAAACCAACACAGATATATACTACACGTCTTCGACGATCCGTATGGCATTTAGTGCATATGTTATGTTGTTTATTTGATGAGGCAATTGTGTCAACCGTGTGTAAATGTGCCATTTATATAATGTGTGCGTTGCTCGTCTTTCCCATTTGCTTCTTTTGTTACTGTCTGCTGACGGAAAAAAGGCGCACATAAGTAACCCAAACATAATCCAATCCAAGTTTACCCAACCAATATATATACATATATATACACTTTTCTTTGACGTGAGATGACATGACAATTGTGTTTCGCATCAAAATTCACTAAAAGAAATGCTGTACAGACAAAAGAATGTGTGAGTGCGAGTACGATCGTTGTTTGGTTGGCCGTTGATTTTTATGCGTTTCCAATAATGCACAACTCCTCTCAACCAGTCAAACTGAACTATTGGCACACATGTTCCTGATCCCCCTGTTTCGGTTTGTTGCATTTCATTTTTATTTAGTTTTCGCAATATCATCAATGTGAAAACTTTCCCTTTTTCGAATTGTCTCAAGGAAAATCGTTTCAATGGTAAAATTGTTACATAAATCTTAAAAACGGCGCGGTAAAAACGATTGTTATTTATATACTGTCGAATCTTTTCTCACCCTTCGATCGGCACGAAACGAATCTTATGTCCTGCGAAATCGTTCAATCAATTGTGCAAAAACCTATTGCCGTTCAATGGTTTTCTATTTATCCGACATTTTCTTCATTTCGGTTTGTTTTTAACGCAATTAATTTTCGGTATTTTGGGAAATGCGCCAAAAATCGACAATCAATTTATTTTCGGTCATTTCATTTTTCTGTTACATTAAGCAGATTTGGCATATTGTGTGCCATCTTAACATGTCGATATTTTGAATTGAATCGACTTGAAGATGAGCTTCTCTAATTTTTCAAAGGTACCGAATAAAAATGAGGCAAAAAAAAAAACAATTAGACGGAAGAGGTGCAATATTTACGAACTCTCCTTCGTTTAAATGTTGAATTTCTATTTTGAAGCTCTTGGAGAAGAAAATATATCACTGCTACCCTGAGCACAAACAGATACACACACTTTTTTATTTGATTCAGTGCATTAGATTTTTATTTTTACCTGCTCACTTATACGATCACAAATTATACTCGTTTTTTTTTGTTGAAACTGTAAAGGTAACCAAAAGGTTATTAATACGAAGAAAGACTAACGAAAAAAATCCCATCAATAGACACTTTTCGGTCTCTCTCTACAATGTTGATTTTATTTTCTCACATTGGCAGTCGATCATCAGTCAACGCTTAAAGTATCCTTACCATTCCCAAGTAATGAATTGGAGGGTTCAGTGAAGCAAGAAAAAAAATTAGGCGACGATTTTTAATTTGGTATTACAACATTTATTCCATCGACGCTCACATGCAGCACAGAAATTGGTTCACAAGATGCAGAAAATGCATTTGCATAAATTGAATTTGGTTCCATGTGTCGGCTGTGTCATTTGCATCCTCACTTATGCAAATTGAGCGTACATTTACGTTCATTAAAGACATTCATTCTTGGCTCAACCCGATTTTCAAAGAGATTTGATGAAATATGAAAAACCGACCATTTATCTGTGAAATAAGTGATAAAACACTTTTCTGAATGACATTTTTGACGATGAATCGGAATCGTTGATGCTAGCGTTGATGGCGACATATCAACACATAATTTAATTCATATCATTTTCGATCATAACATAAGAAATATTATAGTATCCAATTTCATGTCACATTTTGTTCTGCATTAAATGTAGAAGGAAACCAAAAACAATGGATTATGAAGAAGTCGTTGTACCTAATTCGTACAAATAAAACATTTATATATATATTAAAACAGAGAACATGGCAAAAAGTTAACTCAACCCAAACATCTGCTATGGCTGCAGTGTGTCGTGCTCTCTTCTTCACACTCATTGTTTGCTTCAATTTTTTTCTTGTTATTCATTCATTCGTTAGCATATTAATGTAAGCAGTGTAAACGTGCGCCCCAAAAATGGTTGAGCACCGCTCACTCACACTTATACACATTCGTCGCATGAGGTTTTTTCTTTCTGTCTTTGTTCGACAGGACGCAGAAAAATCAACATGTGTTGGTAACGGTTACATAGCGGCAAGCCATACCGATCAATTGCCTGCTTTTTGCCTCAACAATTCAACCTTCACATAGTTTAGTTCTTCTAAGACTGTAACTCTATTGTTAGCATGTGTGTCTTAATATCTCCTTCAATTCGATGGAAATGCATTTCATAAAAACGACGTTTAATTATCATGCCAATGTTGCATTACCCTGTTCAACATCCAATTTTTTTGGAATTCATGAATTGAAATTCCAGTCGATCCATGAAGGAATCCAATTCATTTTGCGATGATTTTGAGCCGAATTTCACAGATCACTTCTCTCGCAAAACCAATTTTCTTAGAAAGATTTTTTTTAGTTATTCACAACAGACTGGTCGAAATATCAGAATTGGTCTTAAACTAAATCAAACGACTAAAATTAAATCCTAAAGCCGCTCAACAATGCTACTTCTGCGTAAGATGTTTTGAGCTCAAAAAATGAAAGGAAGTGATTTTTGATGGGTTTTTTAATACAGAAATAACAAAAAAAAAACGAAAATCTTTCATATTGACAATTCGACTTGCCATAGGATATCTTCTTCCGCAAACCTCCCAAGGATTGTTTCGAAACTGCCCAATCTCTATTGATCATATTTTACTTTTGATTGTGTACGACGTGCAATACGTGCACAAAGCATAGTATATTATGTTGAGAAGACGTTGTGATGCGGATTTTGCTTGGTGCAGCCTATCTATATGTGTGAATGTGAGAATGTGTGGTTGGCGAAGTCGATGCGCTCGTTTTCTTCGTATGTATTTTCTCAAGAAATATCTGATGGTGAATAGCAGTTACCTTCACATCAACCGCATGCGTGTGTGTATGTGTGGCATTACCCATTTTAAGTTGCTCACCAAAAAATACCATCGGATCAAACCACTTTAGTTTAGTTAAGACGACGGTTGGATTCAAATAGTCAAAAATCCTGCCGAATTTGAAACGCTTATTTTTTTCGACTCGTTTTTAGTTTATAATAAATATTAACTTTTAAATCAATTAATTAAGACTAAATCGAAACAAAATTTAGTTCAAAGCAATAATAACAAACATTTTCTCGCTGTTTTCTTTTTCTTTATTTCTTTTTGTTACAAAAATTGTTTTATTTTCGCTTATGTGTTGATTATTTTCCGGGTTAGAAAAAAATTGTTAGATTTCTCCGATTATTTGTGTTTTATTGAGAGCCAAAAGAAAAATTCAATGTTAGGCAATAAAATCTATTTGAAAAATCAAAGCAATCTTCATATTGGTCGATGACAAGTTTTTAGAATATTTTGAGTGGCAAATACTATTTGGAACGCTATCTTTGGTAATTTTTCGGCCTTTTTTTTCATTTCAACCATTTAAATAAAATAAGTAGCCCTTCAAGTGATGAATTTGTTTTCTTGTCACTCATCATTCGATTTTAAACGAAACTAACGATTTTGCTTTTCTCTTTTTCTATTTCAGATGCAATCAATTAAACAAATAATACGCTTATTCACAAACTACGGATATTTTGTTTGCAATATATATTAATTTAAATAAAAAAACGAGCTCCGAACTGAAGAAATTTTGTTGTTGTTGAAAAAACACTTTTTGAAGTGAGCAAATTAAAAACTAAATATTGTGTTTAGTCTCTCGTATTTTGCGTATGCAATTTGTGAATTTGTTATTAAAAATTGAACTGAACGAAAAAAAAATTATAGTTATTAAAACTAAGAAAATATTATGGCACCAACAAAGTCACAGTCGACACTCATAACGAGTAAAGGAGTTACCAAATCGATAGTATCGTTGTCACGTCGTGCAATTTCATCACGTACGCAACAGCAAAAAGTGCTTGTTGATGGTTCACAAAATGGTTTGCCGGTTGGTAAACGAAAGGCGGATGTAAGTCCTGGCCGAAATGAGAAAGGTATAAAGCGTTCCGCTTTGGGAAATGTCACCAATGCAGTACTAAATGCTTTTGAAGACAGTAAAAAACTTACTCGATCGAAAACTGATGCCAAAAAAACCACAACAACAACGACGACGACATTGCCAAGTCTGCCACATAGCAAAACAAATGAAAATCAAGAATTCACTGCACCAAATGCCGTTCCTCGAGCACATAAAGTTGCAACACGAGCATCAACCCGAGCCAATGAATCGACAAAGGTCAGTGATGCAGTTGCCGGACTGAAAAAAGTGAACATATCGGCTGCATGTATTAAAGGGAAAAAGACTAAGACTGAAACCATTGTCAATAATAATAATACAAAAGCCGATAGTCAGTCGCCATCTAGTGGACGGGACAACGATAGCAACAAAATCGATGCAAAGGCAAATATACGTCGTTTATCAAATGAATTCGAAGCCTTGGACAATGAAGAAAGTCACTATATGTCAGCGCTCGAAGATCTGTAAGTACTTATATATCAATTTTAAATGTTACAACTAAATTTATGAATTTAATTTTCGAAAATAAAGGACAACTTCCTCGATGCGTTTGTCGGTTGGTGATCTTCGGCGAAAATCAATCACCAGCGATGAGGCAATCGGTTCAACTGAAACACTGAGCACAATTGCTGAAGCTACAGATATAACAGGAGCTTCAACACAATTCGAAGCAACGCTTAAAGACGAAGTATCAAAAGCCACCAGTTGGCCGTTACCGGTGCCCGATGGAGTCATTGATTTTGATCGTGAAAATTGGGACGATCCAATACAAGTATCCGAATATGCAATGGATATTTTTGAATATTTAAAGAAACGCGAAGAAACATTCAAAATTGATGCGTATCTTGGGCGGCAGCCACATCTTACAAACTGGATGCGCACCCTGCTTGTTGACTGGATGGTTGAGGTTCAAGAGACATTTGAATTGAACCATGAAACATTGTATTTGGCCGTTAAAATTGTTGATATTTACCTTAGCAAGGTGCAAATTGAAAAGGAAAAATTGCAATTGATTGGAGCTGCTGCTCTCTTCATGTCTTGTAAATACGATGTAAGCGCTCGATAGCATTTTGATTCATCAAAACTCTCCGTCAAGTGTTTTATTCACATCATATGTTGGTTTGATTTTTACAGGAACGTACCCCACCATTGATTGAGGACTTTTTGTACATTTGTGATGGTGCTTATAAGCAAAACGAATTAGTTTCCATGGAAATGGATGCATTCCGTACAATTGGTTATGATTTGGGCATTCCATTGTCATACAGATTCCTTCGCAGATATGCTCGGGTAAGATTCAACATCACTTTAAATAATTTAACAAACTTATGCAGTTCTAGAAGTTTGAAATTAATTTCGATTTTTATTCTCTCTCTCTCTCCATTCCAAATTGATTTGTAGTGTGGCATGGTCACGATGCCGGAATTAACACTTGCTCGATTCATTCTTGAATTTTCTCTCATGAGCTATGATTTGATAACGTTAAGTGATTCTAAAATCGCTGCAGCCTGTTTATACATGGCTCTTCGCATGAACAATAAGACTGGTTGGAATAAAACATTAGAATATTTCTCAGGTAATGTGATTTGACAATTCAACAATGATTTGCAAAACTCAATTTAAAATGTATAACAAATATGTTTGTCTCTGTTTTCACTTTTAGGCTACAAATTAAGTGACTTTCAATCGATAATACCTCTCTTAAATGGGCCGTTACACCAAAAGCAACGCGATGCAAACAAAACCATTCGAAATAAGTATACACATAAAGTGTTCTATGAAGTGTCCAAAGTGCCGCTAATGACAAACGAGCAACTGCTTGAATCCATCGAATCGATCGAAACACTATAAGCGCATCCGCCAACCCTTTTTATGAGATACAATATTTTTCCGAATACAAATGACGATTAAGGGCATAGCATTGGTTTCCATTTTAATTAAAACTAACAAATAGACAGAGTACAGTAATTTCCAGTGAAGCACGAGCTTTGTTACCATTCACCATAAAATGGAATGTTAAAAAAATCAAATCCAATTCAAAGATGTTATCATATAAAATGGATTGATGCGCTTAACAAATCTCGGTTTTCTTCTCACACAGACCGTACAATTTTTCATTTAGTTTCAAAATTACAATGCTCATGTTTCGAAATTTTATGATTTGCCGCATGTGAACAAAGAGCTCACTTTTAGATTATTATTATTTTTTTTTTTATTTGTTGTTTGTATGTAAGAGGAGCTCGTCTTTCGCACATTATTCGAGTTCAACAAAATTGAAGGAAGATAAGAATAGTGGACAATAGCATATTTAAGATTTTTTTTTAATCCGAATGAAGAATGTTCGTTTTGTGTCGTATAGGATTTTATAGGATTTTATTTATAGACTGATGAGGATGATTTAGAAAGTAGTAACGAAATTGCATCGAACAAAACAACAAATTTCTGTTAGAAAAATGAACGAAGTACAATTGCACACTACAATCAAACGGTGTACAAATTAATTTTAATTGTTTTTGCACAAAGAAAAAATGAAAATAATAGAAAACCACAATAAAATACTCGAAACAAGTACCAATTTCAAATGATCAAACATTTCAAACATGTATCATAAATAGTTAAACTACCGTATTCAATAACTCCTTTTTAAATGTTATGTACGTTTATTTGGTCTCAAAAGATTGAGCACAAAGCCAGCGACCATCTGCAAAAGTATTAAAATCTTTTAAAAATAAACAACATATTCCCGATTTGAAGCATTTTCTTGTTTGATTGTCGTTTTTTTGTTTTTCGTAAAAACCGTTGCAAGCGTTCAATTTCAAAATGTTGAACTAAACGCATCTGGCTCCACCGCTCATGGACGTGTGTAACACCAACACTAAACCAAATCGAATGACATTTGCTACCGAAATATTTGACAGACACTGTCAAACGATAACGTAAAGTGCATTCGAAGTTTTTTTTTTATAACGTAGGTACCGAAAACAAATTTGTTGAAGAAAGTAAAAATGGACAGTCAATTGATTAAAGTTGAAGGTAACTGTAAAAACGGATCGAATTTGATGAAGTGGTTAATTTTGATTGTCATACGAAAATTTCTGACTTTTTTTCACAGTGGAAGAAAATCCAAATTTTCATTGTATCATTTGCAAAGATGAATTTCTAACGAAAACGGAACGAAACGAACATTTGGAGACACATTTCATTCATTGTAATTGCAAAAATTGTAGCCGCGCAGTTATTGTGATTGGTGGCTTAGAATTTGAATTACATCATCCGACACACTGTACAAAAAATGAATCGTTGCAAGAAGATGTGTTAGACGGCGAGTATTTAATGGACGTCAAATCGGAAGACGAGTACGATTTTAAGAGCGATGAGGCGATTGAAGCCATAATCGAACAAGATTCGGAAATCGAATGTTTCCAGAACACAAAACAACACACAACCAATGCAGAAAATTCTAATGATGAATCTAGTGAGTTAGTTAATGAAGTAGATGCGACGAAAAAGATATCGGCGCGAAAAGTAAAACGAAAATCTGCTAGAAAATGCACAAAATCTAGAAAAAATAATGATGGAAACCATTCTGGGTCAGATGTGATAAGTGATCAGGCGGAGAGTGAAGATGAACTGATCAAAGAAATGGATGTGGCAATGAGAAAACGACGTAAACAATATGCTAAACTACCAAAAACCATACCATGCACGGTGGAACAATGTGATGCAATGTTTGGCACCGAACGTACATTAAAGATTCATATGCATCGAGAGCATGGCATCAAAGAAAGATATATCTGTCCAATATGCGATCGAGAGTTTAAAATCAGCGGCAATTTGAAACAACACATAGAAACACATTCGGATTACAAAAGATTCATCTGCAATTTTTGTGGAAAAGGCTTTCATTTACCCTTTAACCTAAAGGAACACATGAACACACATACGGTTGGTATTCATATTTCATTTATTATTTGATTTCAAGGACATAATTAAAATCATTTTTAATGTACAGGGAGATAGACCGTACACCTGCGATGTTTGTGGTAAAACATTTGGCAGAAACAGTCTTCGACAGGCTCACATGAGGGTAGGTTGTCTGTTTTCAATATTTTTTTTTCATATTTAATTTTATGCATCGACACATATAGGTGCACACCGGCGAAAAACCATATAAATGTGATGTTGATACCTGTGATCGAGCCTATGCGTACCAAACGGACTTGAAGAGACATAAAAGAGCTGTTCACGGAATTATAAATAAAACGTTTCCGTGTACGATTTGCGGAAAGATTTTTTATGAGAACAAATTTCTTACGAAGCATCTTAATGTTCATAATGAGAATAATTAACACGATCAGCTTTTTTACAGCACTTTTTTATGGATGCATTTTTTATCCTTATGTGTCCTGAGTTGAGTTTCAATAATAAGAGTATTATTTGTTGTTTTATGTGTTAACAGCCTACGAATAAAGTATTAGTAAAGTGATTTTTGAAAAATAATAAAAGAAAAACTTTGTTTTAGCATTCATTCTTAAATATCTTTTTTTAGCAAAGTCATAATCATATCTGCATAAAAAAAAATCAACTTGGCATCGGGCAACTTGAAAATGTAATGCACTATGCTCAACTGTCAAAACTTGAAAAAAAACCAAAACGAGACAATTAATTTCTGTTTTGGAATTTATTTAAAAAAATTATCTTTATGAGAACATCAGAATGGGCAAAAATGATGGCGGTGATTGATGGTAACAGCGATAACAAGTTAATAATCGAAACATCTTCAATGATGTGATTAAAATATGATATCAGACATTTGGCCACACATTGCAATCATTATCGAAGCCAATTTAAATGAAAACATTTTCTAAATGTTTGAAAATATGGCAAAGTATTACAATAAATAAAATTTTAAAATTTGAAAACATTTCTGATTGTGAAGTATTTTCTTGTTTTCTTTTCGGTTGTCATTTTCTTTTCCATTGCTGCAGTAGAGAAAACCGTTGAAACTTTGAATTCTGAAATTGAATTATTTTTGAATGAATGCATCTGGCTCCACCATGTGACTGATGTAAGTAGGTAATCGAATGACAGACCAAATGACAAGCACTAAACGAATGACCAGAAACATAAAACATATGAATTTTTAAGTGAGTAAACAAAATTGGTACGAAAAAGATCAGTTGAAAAAAAAAATGGATGAATTTTTGGTGCTTGACAGTCAGTTCATAAATGTTGAAGGTAATCTGAAAATAATGAAATCTAATTTGACTACCAATTCTAATTGTTATTGAGGAAATTTCACACTTTTTTTTCACAGTGGAAGAATGTCAAAACTTCAATTGTATCATTTGCAAGCGTGTATTTCTAACGAGAAAGGAGCGAAATGAATGCTTGGAGACACATTTACTTCGTACAAATTGTAAGAGTTGTAAGAAGCTGGTGATTGTAATTGGAGGCTTAGAATTGGAACTACATCGTCCAACACATTGTGAACAAATTGATTCGTCGCAAGAGGATGTATTCGACGACGATTATGTGATGGATAATGAAGATAACTTACACGATAACATTGATGATAAATTCAGTATCGAAAGCGATAAGGTGAAGGAAGCTTTGGCTGAGAATAATTTGACTATTGAGTCATTTAAGGAACCAATAGAACACAAAATCGTGGTAGAGCCTTCTACCGAAGTGCCTAGTGAAGTGGCCGATGAAACAAAAGAGAAGAGAAGGAGATCGTTGCGGAAGAGAGCTATAATCGAAAAACAAGATTCGGAAATCGAAAGTTCCGAGAATACAAAAAAGCGCTCAATCTATGCAGAAAATTCTAATGACGAATCTAGTGAATTAGTTCATAAAGTAGAGGAGACAAAAAAGAGATCGGTGCGAAAACGAAAACGAAAATCTACCAAAAAAAGGACAAGATCCAGAAAAAACAAAGTCCGAAATTCTTTAAAATGCGATGATAATGATGCCGATTCGAAAACCGAACAGAGTGAGAGTGAAGATGAATTTCTCAAGGAAATGAAGAAATCAAGAAAAAAACTACCAAAAAACGTTCCATGTACCATGTGTCCATTAAAGTTCGGAACAGAGCGCACCTTGAAGATTCACATGAACAAAAAGCACGGAATCAAAGAGCGATATATCTGTTCAATATGTGATCGAGAGTTTAAAATTAGCGGAAATTTAAAACAGCACATGGAAACACATACTGACTACCATCGATTCATTTGTACTTACTGTGGCAAAGGCTTTCATTTGCCATTTAACATGAAAGAGCACATGAACTCACATACGGTAAATTATTTCATTTCATTTCGATTTCATTGACTTCATGCGATCTAAACGATTCTACTTGTGTAGGGAGTCCGTCCGTATAAATGTGAAACTTGCGGTAAATTTTTCGGCAGGACAAGTCATTTGGCGGCCCACCAGAGGGTAAGTCTTTTAATGAATTTTCGAAAGTCTCTATATTTTATAGTTTGATATATCGTTTCCTATTTAATGCAGATTCACACCGGCGAGAAACCGTATAAATGTAATATTGAAAATTGTGTTCGAGTATATGCCTACAAGACGGATCTAAAGAGACATCAAAGAGCAGTTCATGGCATCATCGATAAAACGTTTCCCTGTCCGATTTGTGGAAAGATCTTCTATGAAAACAAATATCTTACGAAGCATCTCAAAGTTCATTAGGATGATTACTAACGCGCTTATTTCTCACAAACCCACTCCAAGAGAGTTCAATTACATTTATGTTTGTTTCATATGATATTACAATTCGATCCTTGCACGGGATTCGAATTAAAATTGTTTTTATATCTCAATACTGATGACCATAAATGTTATTGATATTTTTTTTTATAAAAGATTTTATAAAATAAAACAAACATATTTTTTTATTATAAATGCATCAATTTCAACAGTATATTTCTCATGTAGATATCTGCATCAATAAACGAAATTTGCATCGGGCAATCCGAAAACATAATGCACTATGCTCAACTGTCAACGCATGAAAAGAAAACAAACGAAACAGACAATTAAATTCTGTTTTGGAATCTATTTTCGAAATTTTATCTTTATGAATAAAACAGAATGGGTGAAAATGATGGCGATAATTTAGCCATAAGTTTGAGTGTGATTGAAGGTAATAGCGATATTATGTGAGATTTTGATTGTGCATAAAATGTGATATTGTTTTTTTCTTCAGGGACGGGATTTGATACACGCAAATATGCAATTATTATCAAAGCAAATTTAAGCGGGAACATCCTTGAAACAGAAAAAACGTTCGCTGGAGATCTAACCGCATCGTTTAAAAATAATCTCATTTGGTCTACAAATAAAGATGCCATTAAACGGTACGCAAACATTTGCTTTGTCAAAATTATTTATTGTTTAATGTCCTTCTATGCTCAAATTATTTGCGCCAAAAATGTAATTCTATTTTAATGCGTTTTAAAATTCTGTATTCGGTGTAAATCTATCAATAGAATGAAGGAGGAGAATCAACCAATTAAATTGGAATGCTTTTTTCAAGTGAGTGAGAGTCGACGTGAACCGATCGGTTTTGTATTGATCCCTCTTCGCACTATCCCATTTTGGAATTCCCGCAAAATGGGCATGATGAAACCACATTGGTACAAACTGCACGGTGTGACTCAAGATAATTTAACGCACAAGCCAGAACTCCTGCTGTCGGTTACAATCGGTGATAAAGAAGACATACTCAATGATCATGAAAAAATTGTAATTTTTATACAACATTTGGCTTTTACGACAAATGATCAACATATATTTTATTTCTAGTTGGTGCAAAATGAGTCTTCTCGAAGCACCGCAGAGCATGTGGAACCTGAAGTTGGTATTTTGAAATCGAATGCTAATTTGCATGTTTCAAAGTTGGGCGAAAATGAAATTGTTATCGTCGGAATTGAAAACAGCGAGCAGCATGAATTTGTGGTCGATATTAATTTTCGTTACATTGATCATTGTGATCATTTGGATGAAAAAGTTGACTTGATTTATACGCTGTTCGATCAACACAAAGTGGGGCTGAGCAAAAATTCGGAAAATGAACAATTCCATATCGATCAAAAAATATCAGTTAAATTTAAGTCATCACTCGGTGACTTGATTGTTTATTTTCGCAATATTTTTTCGCTTCCAATTGTTTTAACTCTGCACAATACAGATGATATCAAAGGTACTTTTAAACTGACAATAGAACAAAACCACTCCATTTTCAATGGTTGCTTGACATGTAATTTATGCAAATTTACCAAATTCGTTTCGTTTTTTCCCGCCATCACTCTAGGTTATACACAGTTAAATTTTGGCGATAGTTTATCAACGTTGCCGGCTTCCATTGAGAAATTCCAAGAAATATTCAGTGCAAAAGATTTTACATATCAATTTGATAGTTATTCCACAATTATTTTTCCAATTAGCGAGACTGAAGAGAAAGAATCGGAAATCCACTACAATTTTAGTTTGAAACACATGTCATACAACAGTAATAAGCCAACAAGTCCAACAAGCCTATTGCTACCGTATACAACGTTACAATCTCCGGGGTTTAACAAAATTGCTTCCGTTTCTTCGCCTGCTTCAAATGCATCCCCATTTGACCAAATGAATGAAAAGGAGATGATCAATTTGGAGAATCCAAATGAAAAACACACGGATAATCCAGCGACGACTATGTCATCGACGATTATTCCAAAAACATTTGCTTATACTCTATCTCTTTTGGATTGTTCGTTCAATAAGCGACCATTTCCGGGGATCTGGCAATTGAGGTAACTAATCGGAATTTATGACTTCGAAAGCCCATATTAAAGATAAAATTTCAGTTTGCAGCATCCAGCAGCCGATTCATCGTTGGTACTACGAAATCTTGAGATTAGTGACATTGTGGTGGATCAAATATCTTTTGAAGAAATGCACTTGCGATTATGCTTCACAACACATCCCGATCAACTCTTTGACTTGATTAAATCGATGCCGTGCATTCTTACCTTAAAGGGCCCGCGTGGTGTTCATGCATCCGCTGAACTTGATAATCACAATATTTTAACGCAAGAGAAGACAAAAGGCATCGTTTTACTCGAGAATGAACAAAATGAACAAATGGCAATGGCACACATATCGGTGCAAACCGAGGAGCTGGGTTTAAATTTCAATACAGACGCCACACTGAAGGCGAGACAACAACAAAAGCATCAACAGTACGCAAATGTATTCCCCGACGAAGATTTGGCTTACAAAATGATTGAAGAATTAGAAGAATGGAAACAGGTACAACGAAAAGAATTTTTGGCCGAATTGAAGCGTCACGAAATTGCACATCTCACACAATTATCAAATGAGTGGCAAAGGAAACGACGCGAACAAGAGCTTAAGCTACATAAGAAAATGGAACACTGCGATCGATTGACACAGACGTTGGAAGAAGCGCACAATATGTTTAAAGAGAGAAATCGGAGTGATATCGAGTATGAACATACGTTGCTGAAGACAAAAAGTGACTTGGAACGATGTTATGCCAAGAAGATTGATTCATTGAATGGAAAGATATTGCAGATGGAAAAGGAGAATTTTATCAAACAAAAAAATGATGAACGAATACTCAAAGAGATTGAAATTGAACGGGATCAATTGAAAAATGAGAATAAAAAATTAAAGGCGAGATTAAAAATGTTGGAAAATGAAATGAAAATTGGAAACAACACCGATGACAGTGCCCAAGAACAAATCAGTGAACTGAAGGAATATGTGGTAAGTAGTGTGAAATTGAGCAGCATTCACAAAATGTGATGAACACATGCATTGACATTAAATAAATAAAGAAGTATAATTCTCAATTACTTTTCTGTTTACAAATTTCAATGTAGAATCTACTGAGCGATGAGCTTGAGAAAATGAGAAAATCGAAGATGCTGTACAAAGAGAGATGGGCTCACATTGTAAGAGAAGTTCAAAAGATCAAGTATAGGAATAGCAGTGATTTCAGTAACGACGATGAGGATTATCAAAGGTACACTGGAAAGTCTTACAAATCCGAATTCCATAATGTTAAAATTAATTTTCGTTTTCTTCATCTATTTTTAACAACAGGTTAAACGAACTATTAAAGTCCGCCCGAACCGACATAAGCAATGAATAATTATTTTGTTATAAAATATTTACAACATTTCTCCGCCCAGAAGAATTTCAAATAGACACAAGATGCCTTAAAATTGCCTTAGTGAAGTCACAACACAATTTAATCCAATCATACAACACCTGCAATAATGCAAAAGACTTAGAACTGCCTGTTTTCATATTTTGTTGAAAATGTTATTTATTCGATTAATAATATTGTTTATAATCGTGTTTTTCTTTTGTGTATTAATTAAAGCGTTCCATGTTCCAAAAATAGCATTGATGTTTCTCACTTATTTTTGTTTATATATAAATTTCAAATTGTGTTCAGAAAATGCATCATTTTAGAGAAAAGGTAAATTTAAAGACATGTGAAATTAAGAATGAGTGTGTGTGTGTTTATATCAGTGTGATAAGCGCTAGAAGATTAATTTGATCGATGTTTAGCACATTCCACGGTCCTCAGTTCGTCTACGTGGAGCTGCCCGAATGATGTTATCGACTCGAAGAATCATTTCAGCTGCCTCGGCGGCCGAAACTAATACTTGACGCTTAACAACAAACGATTCAGTAATACCCAATTGTTTCATGCAGGCGATTTTGCCTTCATCCATATTCAAACCATATGATTGTTTGCCTTGCACATGGGCCGCACGCAATTCAGCAACCAAAGCAGCCGAATCGAAACCAGCGTTGTCGACAATTATCGTTGGCAACTGCAACAAAGCACCTGCAATACAACGAAGTTCCATATAAATAATTTAGAATCACAACAACAGAAAATATATTACAAATAATTTGACTTGAAATAGATTTTGATATACATACGTGCAAATGATTCCATGGCGAGTGATTCTTTTCCGGCAGTTTCTGTAGCTTTCTTCGAAACAGCTGTTGCCATCAAAGTTTCTGAGCAACCACCGCCATAGATGATGCGTGATTCCTTAACAGTGGCGGCCAATACGCAAAGTGCATCGTGTAATGATCGTTCAGCTTCATCGATAATTTGTTGTGTAGCACCGCGAATGACAACGGTACATGCTTCACCCAATGGTACACCACTGAAACGCAACAATGTATCTTCTCCGATCATAACTTGTTCGATGACATCACAATGTCCCAATTTGATTGTTTCTGGGCTATCGAAAGTGGAGACGATTTCACCGCCGGTAACCAATGCCAAACGTTCAATTCCATCGAAGTCAGCGTGTTCGATTGCCATTACACCGGCATCGGCAAACAATTGTTCCGGATAATTGTAGATCAACTGACGATTAATAAACACATTACATTTGTGATTCAAAATTTTGTTCACTTTGTCTTTCATCTTCTCTTTTTCGGCCATTTCCAAATCGGCAATCTTTGCCATTGAATCAACTTTAATTGTTGAACCGAACACTTTGATTTTATCTGTGTCCATTGGTGTGTTTGCAATCAAAATTTTGGCATTTTCAATGCGCTTTGGTTGATGCACTCCTGGCCGTTTGTCCAACAAAAATCCTTCATCAAGGAATGAATCTTCTAAGACACCGCCACTTTTCTTGATTATTTGGATTGCGTTCAATTCACCGGATCCTTTTAGACGAAGAACAGCATCAACAGCTAAATTTGCGAAAAAACTGAAGAAAAGAAATATATTTGGTTAGAAAATACTCGCCTCGCGAAGCTATTTTCAATTTTTGAACTTACTCTTTGTGTTGACACAAAATCTTTGAGCTCAATGTGGTACGAGCAATGTTCAACAAATCTGCTTTGAATGCAGCCTCATTTTTGGAATTGTCTTGGGCGAATTTGGTCAATGCATCACGGGCCACATCGACGGCTTGACGATAACCAGCGATGATTGTTTGTGGATGCAATTTCTTTTCGATCAACTTTTCAGCTTCACGCAACAATTCAGCGGCAAGCACTGTAACTGATGTGGTTCCATCGCCAACTTCATCGTCTTGTACGCGTGACATATCAACCAGAATTTTTGCGGCCGGATTATCGACACCAATTGATTTCAAAATTGTGGCACCATCATTGGTAATTTCAACTTGACCAGCATTACGACCCGATGAATACAAGATTTTATCCATTCCCTTTGGGCCAAGTGTACTCTTCACCAAATCACCAATTGCAATTGCACCGACAAACGATGACAAACGCGCAATTTCCGCTTTCTCTTCGTATGCCTCATTTTTCAATATACGAATTGGGTTCAATGCAACTTCCTAATCGAATGAAAGAAAAGTAAAAAAAAACAGTTCCAAATCAATAATGGACATGTGAAACTAATCAAGAAATGAAGTTTCCAGCACCAAAAAACCAATACTATCGCTATTGAATGAGTCATGAATCTAACTGGCCGTGGGTTTGTTGCATATATTTGACAATGAATCGTTTATAACCACACTTTTCTTGCGAAAAAAATCTCTTTTAATTTTACATTTTTATTTTTCAAACAATTAAATTGAAACGATGAGTCAAATGCCTTCTTTATTTTGAAACGCCATTCGGTTTTTTCATCAACATTTAGTTGTTCCAAAGAGTTGTTGGAATGATCGAGAAGTGTGAAACACACTAAACCATTCACGTGCTACTATAAAAACTAAAAGAATCACACCCGGCGTCATTTTTTCAATATTTTTCCACAGAAATTTAATCACGGCTCATTCAATTCGACATTTTAACATAATATTTGCAATAAATTTCACTTTGCACAAATTTTTATGCAATTTTACGCACCATTTTGTAAGATTTTTATTTAATTTTTAAAATTGTGACTAAGAACCGTATTGAATATCACACTGCACAAAGGAGAATAAATTTTCACATATGTTAGGTTGGCAATGCCAATCAATGAGAGTTGTGAGAGAGAATAAAAATGAGAGAATGTACAAGTTTGACATTTCACATACATACCAACACATGTTTACTGACACCTTTGACAGTTCGCCTCTGCTCAGCACACGTGCAGAGAAATAGACACATTTGTTTACAATTTTCGTACAGAATACTTGTAGTGCTTATTATAATTTCAACTATTTTATTATTATTCGATGAAATTCAAGTTTGAAACTTAAAATGGGGAAGCGAAGACATAATATAAAAGGTCGTCAAGTGACTGATGTTATTGTTGACAACACTGAAACGAAAAAGGTAACGAAATTCATTCAGCACTTTTTCTGCACTGGTTATCATGATTTATAACATTTGTACCGCCATAGATAAAACTCGATTTGGCTGCCGCTGACGATGAATACGGATTCGATCAATCAAATGCATTAGTTTTGCCATCGAAAAAACGTGAAACGAAAATTAAAAAAACCGAACAGAAACAAGTGACTCGCATTCTGTCAAAAAAACAACGGAAAAATTTGGAGAAAATCGTCGAGAAAAAGAAGAAGAAAGAAGGCGTAAGATTGTCTATTTTTTATTTAAAAAAATGAAAAATGTAATTTTTATTATTTTCGTTTATTTAGAGATCCGAGCTTTTGGAAAAATTGGCATCAGTTCAATTGCCGGCGAATGATCTGAAGAAATTAACTTCGATTGTCAACGTTCAAACGAAAGGTGTAAAAAAATTCAAGCAATTTGGCGAGTTGATCGATGCACCGAATTTAGCTGAAATCGACGAGAATAACGAAAGTGAGCAAAAACGATGGAGCAGTCTGGCTGGAAAAAAACGCAAGGAGAGATTAGCTCTTTTGCATGGGTTTGTATTCAAATAGGCATTTTTGTCGAATTGTTACTTACCTTTTCTTATCGAACTGATTAGATATAATAAAGACGACGACGAAGATGACGAAAAGTCGGCCCAACATGATTTGAATATGATTGGCACTGATCAAGTTAGCTCAAGTGAGGATGAAAGTGAACAGGATGCAACTGATGATGAGAATCAAGAGGCAAGTGACGAAGATGTAGATGTAGAAGTAGACCAAACTAATGAAAAAATCGAAGAAAATGTTGTGAATGCACCTGAAGAAGAAATGAAAAATGAAGATGTCGACCAGAAGGATGGCAAAGCATTATCAAAAAATCAATCAAGTGCAGTTGAACGAAGACCGGCTGTATATATTCATGTGGAACGTACATCTGAAGTTCAAGCGGCTCGATTGAAACTGCCAATTCTTGGCGAAGAACAAATTATTATGGAGGCGATTAACGAAAATAATATCGTAATATTGGCCGGAGAAACAGGTAGTGGAAAAACGACGCAAGTGCCCCAATTCTTGTACGAAGCTGGTTACGCCGAGAAGAAAATGATCGGTATAACGGAACCTCGACGGGTGGCAGCCATTTCCATGTCTAAGCGAATTGCACACGAGATGAATTTGTCGTCGGATATTGTGTCGTATTTGATTCGTTTCGAAGGTAACGCGACTAGAATATGACGTTCTTTTAGTTTTGTAATTTCCATTCTCTTCTATGTGTTCAACCAGGTAACACCACTGAGAATACCAAAATTAAATTCATGACGGATGGTGTTTTGTTGAAGGAAATTGAGTCTGATTTCACACTGAATAAATATTCGGTGATTATTTTAGACGAAGCGCATGAACGCAGTGTTTACACTGATATTTTAGTGGGTTTGCTATCACGGATCGTTCCATTACGACAAAAAAGAGGAAATCCATTGAAGCTAATCGTTATGTCGGCCACGCTGCGAGTTGAGGACTTTACAAAAAATCGCCAACTATTCAAAATTCCACCGCCTGTTTTGAGTGTGGAAACACGACAATTTCCCGTGACAATTCACTTTAATAAATACACTACGGATGACTATGTGAAGGAAGCATATAATAAAACGGTTAAAATTCACACAAAATTGCCAGAAGGTGGAATTTTAGTGTTTTTAACCGGTCAACAAGAAGTGAATAATTTGGTTCGAAAATTGCGCAAAGCCTATCCGTATAAACCTTCAACGAACACGAAAGATGCATCGAAAAATGGCGATAAAAAACCCATTAATCAAGACAATTCTGATCATGAAGATTCCGAGGATGAATTTAATATTCGAAGAGCGATAAAAGAAGTAAAAAAATCAAAAAAGAAATTGGCCTCTCAAATGGCCATTCCGAAAGTGAATTTGGATGAATATAAATTGCCATCAGATGACACTGAAGCAGATTTATTCGATGTGGATAGTGTGGCTGGTGATGAGAGTGACTCTGAATTGGGTAGCGATACGAATCTAGAACATATGACAGCATTAAAAGCATCTCAACCTCTTTGGGTCTTACCGCTGTATTCGTTGCTACCATCGCATAAACAGCAAATGGTATTTGACCCGCCACCAGATGGAACTCGATTGTGTGTGGTGACTACGAATGTGGCCGAAACATCGCTTACCATTCCGAATATCAAGTACGTTGTGGACTGTGGGCGACAAAAGACTCGTTTGTACGACAAAGTAACGGGAGTCAGTGCATTTGTTGTGACATTTACGAGTAAAGCGGCAGCTAATCAACGTGCCGGTCGTGCTGGTCGAACAGCAGCCGGTCACTGCTATCGATTGTACTCAAGTGCCAAATATAACGATGATTTTGTTGAATTTGCCGTTCCTGATATTCAAAAGAAGCCGGTTGAAGATCTCATGCTTCAAATGAAATGTATGGGAATCGATAAAGTCGTTAATTTCCCATTTCCTTCACCGCCCGATTTGCTTCAATTGAAAGTTGCAGAAGAGAAATTAATACTGTTGGGTGCATTGGAGGCTGTTCCAAATACTAAAACTGATGAAACGCTTACTCGCATCACATCATTGGGCAAAGCGATTTCAGTTTTTCCTGTTGCACCACGCTTTGGCAAGATGTTGGCTCTAAGTCATCAACACAATCTATTGCCATACACCGCTTGCTTAGTGGCCGCACTTTCCGTTCAAGAAGTGTTAATCGAAGTAACGACTGAAGATGATGAACAAGTGCAAAAAAAATCCAAATGGACAGCGAAACGAAAGCAATGGGCAGGTGAAGGGAATTCATTGTTGCTTGGTGATCCGTGCGTGCTGCTTCGTGCCGTCGGTGCTGCCGAATATGCACATTCATTGGGCAAATTAGACGAATTTTGCCGTGATAATGGGCTGCGAACAAAAGCTGTAACCGAAATTAGAAAATTACGTATTCAATTGACAAATGAAATTAATTTGAATATGCCCGATGTGGAGTTGAATGTGGATCCAAAGTTAAAACCACCAACCGATATCCAAGCAAAATTACTTCGTCAGATTTTGTTATCCGGCATGGCCGATCAAGTGGCTCGACTAATTCCGCAGGAAGAGATAGCGGATAAAGATGATCGACGAAAATTTAAGTATGCATACAAACGACATGATATGGAAGATCCTGTCTTTTTGCATTCGTCGTCGGTTTTACGTAACACACGACCCGAATGGGTAGTTTATCAAGAAATCTACGAAATTCAAAATGGTGACACCACCAAAATGTTCATGCGAGGCGTAACAGCCATTGAATCTGATTGGCTGCTGATTTATGCAAATTCACTATGCAACATAAAATCAATCAAGGAGACTCCAGCGCCACGATATAATCCGAATAATGGCAAAATTTACTGTCACTGTGAATCGACATTTGGAAATTCTGGGTGGGAAATTCCTGTTGCCGAAATCGAAATGCCCACCAATGAACTGGTATACAAGTATGTATAATCTAATGGGGGTTCCGTTCTTTCAAAATATCTACTTTCATTATTATAACTAACATTCGTTGACATTGTCTTTTTCAGATATTTCGCAATGTTCTTTTTGAATGGGGAGATGTTCCCACAGCTGAAAGCAAACGTAAAATTGTTACGGTCATCTCCGAAAAATATCGTCAAATCATGGGCACAAAATACGCCGCACATATTAGGATTTGTGAATACACTGATCAGACATAAAGTGGTTAACAAACAGAAAATTTTGGACATTTGGAGCAAAGATCAATTTTGTATGTATTTTTTATATGCATATCTTTTACTATGAAGTCAAGAATGGATTTTGTGAAATTAATTATGTTTATTTTTTAATTTTACAGATCTTCTTCAAGAGTATCGAAATTTCTTAATCGAATCAGCATCTGATGTTGCACTCAAATGGCCGCCAATTGATAATTAGTCATAAGTTTTTATTGAATTTATGGATGCTAGTTATTAACTATTCACAATGCAAAAAATTGATTGTTTATTCTAATAAATAGTTAAATTCATTTTAATTTTTCGCTTTATTATTAAAAGGAGAGCATAGTGTTCTTTCAAAAAAATAAATAAAGAACAAATTAGGAAAACGACGATAATGTGATCTTTTACTCAAAAAATGTATAGAATTGTTGATTTTTGATTCCATTTTCTTAATTATTCGTCATCAAATTTGGATAGAATTTTTATCTAAACATTTTCACAACGCAGAAATAATGCATAAAACAGAGCCATATTTAAACTTTTTTCTTTTCATTTGTAACGTTACGCTCTCCGTTCGTTCAAACAGTAGGAATAAAAAGTGAATATATTCAAGACATTGAATTTAGTAATTAATTGTATTTTAGCAAAGAAGAGGGTACCTCCCACCGCCGCTATAAAAATGTATGTTTGTTGTTTGCTCAGTAGGTCACTCATTCGAAGGAAAGTTAAACTTGCACAGAAATGGTTCGAACTTAAATTTTATCCATTTTTTTCTCACAAATCGTATTTCCATTAGTTTGTGAATGTTTACGGAATAAAATAATGATATACAACGTGCCAATGAAACAATTCGAGCGTTCATCCTAGAAAATATAAGTAGGTAAGTTCAGTAGTAAAATAAGAAGTTTCATAATTCTTTTTCTTTTGTATTCTTTATTTCCAATATAACAAGATTTTTAATGATTTTTAATATTAATTGGAATATCTACATTAATAAGTAAAATGAAACATTCTAGTGTAATGGTTAATTTTAATGTTAAACTTGAATGATATCAAATAGTCACTTTTTATTTCGCTTTTAGCGGAATTTTCTTGCCGGTGTTGCTTTTGCTTCACGAGCCTTCTTCTTCTCAATCTTTTCAATAATCGATTCACCCTCTTTCGAAGCATCTGAAAGCGGACCATTGAAAGTCATACCCGATGGCCCAGTGTGAGTTGGAATTGGATATGGCATAGCAGCCCGAGCAGCCCAAACATTGTATTTATTTTCTTTGTCCTCAGCAGATGCTGACCTAGAAATATCCATTTTAATTTACTAATAATTACAAAATAAAATTTGTAGCAAATAATTACCGAGTCATAATTGCCACAAAAAATATGGCAATAAGCAAAGTATAACGAATAAACGACACCATTTAACGGGCTTTTTTCTTTCCTTCTTTTCAAAGATAATTAACAGAATGAATTCACTTTGCAATGATATCGCAATTTATACTCTCAATTTTCTTTTACTTTTTTATTTTTTCACATACGTAAGAGAGCTCTAAGTAAACACATTTTTACGTTAAGCCGCGTTATTACACACTAATTCAAAAATGCGTGTTATGTTTTCTCTCCAATGTAAGGTTTTACTTTCAAATATTTTCATATTGAAAAAAAAAAACTGTGTTTTTTCATTTGTTATATTTATTTGTTGTTTTTTATTTGTTACTTGTAATTTCCAAAGAGAGACCAAGTCGCACAAATTGCTTTTACGTGTTTTCAAACTAACAATATTGTGAAGACATACATCTTATTATTTAAATGAAGATGATTAGCAAAGAGATTCAAATGTTTCTCACAGGTATTCAGTTTTGGTTTTTATTTTTCAATTCATAATTATGATCATGGCCCATGGACACTGTCATAGAATCAAGCATATATGTATCTGATATTCCTCCCATAATAATTAAATAGCCTCTGGACATGTAATCTGAGTTTATAATTATATTTTCGTATAAATTTAGCTTTTCTCCGAATATTGAATAATTTTTTAGAATTGATCGCATTACATCATTTTCATTCCCCAATTAACGAAAGATTCATATATTTCCATATATAATGGATTCACGTTGCAACAATGCCGATGGATCAATAATTGACATTTTTGCAAAAGTAAAACGAAAAGATATTTATTTGAGTAAATTATTAAAATTAGATCCCACAAAAATGATAAAAGTTTAACCAAAATGGAAACGAAAAAAAGAACACGGACGATGGTACAAGGAAAATTATCAGAGACGACTATGATGAGAAAAAATTAAATTTTATTAATTATTTTCACTATAAAAAATGCAATTGAGAATAAGTTTAGTTTGATGCATGAATTTCCATTTCATTTACAATATTCCCGCTAGTTTTCTATCTTATTTTTCATTTCATTCATCAAGTTCTTGATTTCCGTAAGGCTAAGTTTTTTTTCTTTATACGACGGAATTGTTATTCCCTTTTGCGCCATCTCTCTCACTACATTCCAACCAGATTTACTCGCAGCACCACAGTTCATAATGTATCCATTCTTATATTGCTTGCATGGTAAACCAAATATGCAACCCACACCTCCGTCAACTGAGAAAAATTCGCCTGCCTTGAGAATATATCCGTGATGACAATTCAACGGGCGACTGATTTCCTCTCCCTGCACAAAATCAACGCCAGCCAAAACAGGCGTATTCTTTACAGCCTGTTCAGAGAAAAGTATGAAAAGTACCAATTTCGATAAATATTTCCAAACAAAATATTATTCAAGTTATTATCACCCACCAAAATTATGAATACAGCGGATAAAATTGTTATTGAGCTCATGATTCCAATTGCCGAATAGAACAAAGTTACGACTAAAAAAAACGTGTACTTAAACGCAGAAAATGAAAAACGAAATGAATTTTGTTTTTGTATTTACTTTATTTATTTATTTATTTATTTATTTATTCACCGTCTGATCACAGACTGTATTTATCACAACATTTTGTACAATACCATTCACAATGAATCACTATACCCGATCGAATATCCAGCTACCAGCCTTGTCGACTTCGGAGCAGCAGATATCGATTGTGTTCATTGTTTTAATCTCTAATTTTCTTTATTGGAGTTATGTATAAAGAAAATAATTCGTTTATAATCCAAATGCGGGAGTCATAATTATCTGCGAGAAAAATAATATTTACGCCAAAAGAAGTCATGAATTGAAAATTCCTTAAATATTCTTCGATCAAATATGTATTTTTAATATTAATATCAAACCGCAAAAACACTTCCCAAGTCAAAAACGGTAAAAAAAGTCAATAAAAAAAAAACTATTGAATCAGTATACGAACTTCGAACAATTGGAATTTATTACGAATCATCACAATAATATTTTCTATCAAATTGCAACTCCATCGATTCCGCTATGAATTTCAATTCAACAAATACAGTATCAATGAATTCCGATTTTTCGGCCGTTTCATAATGATGACCGCCACTATGAATTGTTTTCAATAAAGTTGGTTTATCAGTCTGAAATACGTTGTTTCCATCCATTTCGCGTCTTAGAGCCACATATTTCAAGCTATTTTCCATAGCAACGGTTTCATCATTTTTGCTTGCTACGACCAATGTCACTGGATAAAGTTCTTCAGTGTTTGTTGTTTTTTTTAGATACAATAAAGGTGCGTAACGTTTTATAATATTGTAATACTGCAATTGTGTCAAGTTACCATACTGTTTTGCCCAAATACATCCTTTACAAGGTAGATCATTAATTAAATCCAAATTGGCATTTTGAATAATAACAGATCTGAAAAGATTTCGTTTTCTATTCATAACAACGGCGCCGGTCAAACCACCATGCGACACACCATAATACGCTATTTTATTTGCATCAATGATATTAGCGTACTTTCGTCCTTTCAAATGTTCAACCCCTGCAATTAAATCGTCAAAACTTTTTTCCGCCTCCCATGGTTTGAGTAGCCAGTCATCACCTAAATTCATGAGTCCAATTCAATTTCAAATGTTATGTGTTCGATTTTTGTATTTTTATTTTTCACTCCTTACCGAGATCACCACCTCCACGAATATGAAACACGACTAGATAATGAAGAAAAAAACGACTTTGTAAAGTAAAGAAGAAATCATTGAAGTTATTATATCAAGTACATACCAATAATGCCATTGAATATCTCCTCGAAAAGAAGCAAGAATAGCTTGAAAAATGGAAGCATGGCACAACCAAATCCACCTAAATTCAATCACAAATATTATCTATTAAATGTTGACTTGTTTTTTACTCACCGTAAGCAAATACCAAACATGGCTTTTTTAAATCATTCGTATTTTTTTCAATTATTGTCATTGGCACGCTGATTCCATCGAAACTTATAAATGAATCTTGTCGTATTTTGAGTTGTATTTCACCTAAATTTGACGCGGGTTGTTTCCAAATAATCGGTTTTACAATTGAATAGGTTTTTGCATCTGGCGGACGGTATTGAAGTTGATTAAAATCAATTCGGTAAACTGTTCTCTGCACTTTAAATGATTGGGTCTCAAAGAAAAATCCAACTTTATCGATTTTCATTGATAGAAATTGTTCATTCTCCAATTGTATTTTATACTCTATGCGACGCATGTTTTTGCTTAAGTAAAATAAATACATCGTATTCTTAGGGTGCAAAAATTGAAAGAATTTGTTTGATTAATTTGAGAAGATTATTTCAATTGCTATTTATACCTGCACGTTTTCGATGTAGACTAAAAACAAATAAGCCGAATACTTGAAAGCAGACGTTAGGACACCATGATTATCCAAATTCTCCTAAAATTACATTGATTCAATACATCGAATTAAATAAATATGAAAAAATTCACTTACAGCAACAATTACTTCAAAATGTTTGTCAGGATTTTTGCTTCCGATTTCGATTTCAATAATATGATGTTTCGGTGCTTTATCATTTGTAAGAAATGTAAAATATTCTCCTTCATTTCCAACGTATTCCTAAAATATATGAACAGTTTAATGCCGATCTGGTGGTTGCAACGCTCCAAAATATTTCGCTTACATAAAATACATCTGGTGAAAGTTTGAAGATTGGCTTAAGTTCGATGGTTTCACATAAAGATTCAATATTCGCTATAAACACCGCTTGATTGTTGCATAAAATCAAATATTTTTTATCATTACTGACTTCAAAAGATACTTTATGAAACTCTCCTCTGGGGATCTTTGCAATAAATATATCGTGTATGTGCTCATCTATAAAATGATAATAAAGACATGGACAATTGCTTTCGTCTGGATCATACTGTTGGAACAAAATTATTTAACCAATAAAATCGTTAAAATATGATAAATATGAATGTAGAATATTTACAAAAACAAAAAATCCTCGGCTATCACCACTCCAAGCGACCTTTTTTAATTTTCTGAGATGTAAACGCTTGCCATAAGGTTTTCCCGATTCTACATCAACAACTGTGATATTACATGAATGCGGTTTGCCTTCGTCTATGCCAAAGGCACAGTATTTTCCATCGGGTGAATATTCATGCTCAACCACTGATCCATTTTCAATGTTATTTGAATCAAAAACAATGTGCGGATGCTTATCATTTATTGATTTCACTCTTTTGAAAATGCTAAAAATGGATATTAACCAGCATTAAAATAAAAATATTCAAATATAAATGATGACAATTTCCACTCACGGTTGATAGATTGATTTTGAAAAATCCAAATATTTATAAAAAATAAACCAATTGACATATTGAACATCATAACAGAGTTCATAGTCCAATGACTTGTTGAATAGTTTTCGGATTTTTTGCCAATTATTATTAGGTTTATTCTGATTTATGTATTTTTCCAGTGTGTATTCTTCGATTTTTAAAATTCGGTCCTTTCGTTTAGAGTCGTCTTTAAGCCAATAAAAGTAATCATATATCTGCAAAAATTGTTGAATTGATCGATATTTCTTTAAAAGAATATTTAATCAATTACCTTTTCTCCATGCAGTTCAAAAACTTTCGCTTCTTTTCGTTCAATAATTTGATATTGGATTGGAATATCTGAAAAAGCACGTATCTTTTTTATTCATTGACCATGAATATGAGTAAAATTATTGAACTTACATTTATTTTTTAGTGAAGCCGTAAGTGAAAGCATAATTGAAAAAAAAGACAGAAAATATGATTGATTAATTTGCGTGTTACTTCGACTCGTAGTCCGAACTTAATGATATTTGTTCAGATCACATCACTGTCACTGAATATTCAACTGATAAATTGCATACATGCTATTTCGTTACAAATTTAGACTGCAACATTTAAATTTAGAAGTTTCCGTTTGCTTCACATTTCTTGGCGCATTTTCAAAACGTAAACCATATTTCAATTTATAAGCAGTTAAAAAGTTGAAGTTGTATTGAAGATTTCGGAAAATTAACATATAAACTAATCAGTCTATTACTAATCTATTTCATTTAAATATTTTGAAACGTGACCGAGTTCGAGCACATGTTTTAAATTGAACTTCAATTTAACTATTTTGAGTTCGTGATCTAACTATACTATACAATATTGTTGTAATATATGATGCATTACTTATCGATCATATAAATCATGTCGGTTTGTGCTATTATTATCGGTTAAAGGTAACGACAGTGTTGCCAAGAATTTTTTTAAGGAAACGGACAACGATTTCATAGCACCATTCGCACAAATACTTGTTTCTATTTATAAATGGCACAGGTTTGTGTAAATAAAGGCTTATTCCATTTAAACAACAAGTCATTTATCGTATAAATTTGAAGGAGACTTGATTTCATTTTGTGAAAATAAGAGTAGAATAAAGTTCTTAATATTTAATAAGAAATGATCAAAATGTATAAGAAGATGTTCAAAAATATTACTGGTATTGATCATTTCATTTATCATTCGTCTGGAAATAGGTGGCAATATCTTTCAATAACGAATAATCAATGCAATATTTTCCAATGAAAATGGGAAAATTCATTTTTTCGCTATGTATCCAAAACTCAAGAATTCAAACGTATGTGTTTGTTTCGATTGGTAATTGAAATTCTATCGATTTTTGTTTAAATTTAAAAGTTAGAACGACACCATATCATTCTAGATATCGTATGATTTTACGGATCATATATAGAATTGTTAATAACTAATAAGTACCAAACCTTCAGCGACTTAATTCCAAATTTAATCAATGAGAAATGTGCCACATGCACCAGTGGATCATACAATCTTTAGTAATAGCAAATAGCAATGTCACAACAAACATACCAAATGCGAACAGGAAAATTTATTTTATCGCCACGTATTCAAAACTTCAGATTTCAAGCGATTCAATATTGATTCAATTTATAAATAAAGATTTTGAATAGCAGCTATATCGTTTCATTTTCCAGTTTCGTATGCACAGTTGCATTTTAATGCACTACTTTGTCATTAAATGGTAAAACTTTCCGACGGTATGTCCTTCTAAAGCTCCTTCAAAATGCAATCAAGGTGATTTATTTCAAATGCATCACACGTTGACCGTTTATGCAGTGCTACGTGGATATACTCTTTTGAAGACAACAACATGTAAAGCATATCTATTCAAGATATGGATGTACTGAGTATTTGCTGAGCTGGATGTGGCTGCCCAAACTTTTAGTTGAAAATTAAATTAAAGGGCAGGATATTGATGGAACGAGGTATTGGTTAAAAATCTGAAATGCGCATTTTCCCCACTCGTAATTGCAATTTTATTGACGTTAGTTTAAAAATAAAATTTACAATGGTACTACATTGCTTTATTTTTCAGATCACTAGGACAATTATCATTGAAAACTTTGCAACTGCGTTTATTGTTCAAAGCTCGTTTCAAATTCAATCAATGTGAAATTTGCCATATGTACCATCTACGTGGATCGTGTTTGATGACAAAATACAGAGTATGCCTAAGGCCATCATTTACACAGAAAATCCATGTGACATATATATTAATAATGATGTCCAATTTATGGATCGACAAAACTTGACTGATACAATTTGCTTACCTTAATCAGTTAGTTGTACTTAAGACAAGCTATCGTTAACATCGAATCGTTAGAATACGAAGTGAATGTGACTTATTCATTTTTTGCAAATAAACAAACTTTAATACGTGAAAACGGTTATTAGTTTCATGTGGTGAAAGTTATAGTTGATATCATTCTGGGAAATTCCTTCATATAATTATCTTTTCCTTTGTTATTGATTGCATTCAACTTTTTTAAAAAAATATTGAAATATTTGGTCTTTATACATTTTTAACCGGGAAGTTAATTGATTTTCAAAATGAAACCATTGACAAAAGTGCAGAAAGCACTAAAATGGCTTTGTCTATCTCCCGCAGAGGATCCATCAAATGTTTGGAAGAAAAGAACCTATATTGCTTTTACTATCGTTTTTATTTTCTTACTCATTTTCACATCTGCGGCATCAATGACTTTTGCTGCAAATAATGTACTGATTGATTTCGATAAAAGCTCACATGCATTTTGCGTTGGAATGGATTCATTGAGTATGCTCTATATTTTTGTAGTAGCATTTTTTAAACGACATAGCATTTCGGCCATCTTCAAACAGTTGGAAGAAGAAATCTATGATGCAAGTAAGATATGTTCAGCGAATTATTCGTTATTTACCTTAATTCAAGTATAGATCTAAAGAAAAATTATTTCAATCCAGACAAAGATGAAAATTCGTTTCGGTTCTTGGCAAGAGCAAACAATAAGTGTGAATTGTTGTGCGAGATTTATTTTAAATGGGTTACCCCAGTAGTTACTGCTTCGTTCCCTACGGTAGGGATGCTATCAGTTCTTCTCTGCCTATATTCATATGGCGAATTTAAAAATGAACACTTATCCGTTCCACTTAAGTTTGTGTGAGTGAAATTCTTGTATTTACCACATTTTAGATATTGTTTCATCTTCACGTTACCATATTTCTTAAATTACAATCACACAAGAGTAAAAAAGTGAACATTAAAAAAGAACAAAAAACTCTTTTTATGCATTTTGAATGTCCACTCTTTTGCTCATTTAAATAACAGTCTCTCTCTCTTATTCTTTGCTCTAAGTTTGCCATGGAATCAAACAACACCGGTTGGATACTATGGAGAATTATGTGTAGCTGTTGCATTTATTGGAACCTACATGATCATGAATGGGATCATTGTTTTGATATTCATTTCCATATGTTTGCAACATCAAGCATTATATCAAATGTTTCAACATTTAGTGCGCAAATTGAATCGACCCAATGAAAAGCACAACAACAAGGACGTATTACGACAAATTATTGAGTTTCAAGTTACGACGAGAAAGTAAGTAATTATTTGACTTTTATTTTATACGATCTTTAGAAATTCTGTCATTGACGAAGATAGCGTTGTATGCATACATGGGCACGGAAAAAGTGTAAGTTTTTTCTCGGCTGCCGGGGGTAGCTCGGTCGATTTAAGAGGGGGGTTATCTTATACCTATCCGTACCCATGTATGGTTGTATGGATATTGGCAAATTTCCAATGGCAATGAATATAATAATGTCGCTGTTTTAGTCTGTATTCAATATTCATGTTAAATCGTTCGTAATAAATGGATTACAAATATTTTTTCAGTTGGTTTTCACATTCATCTGCATTCTACAGTCTCATCATTATGAATGAAGTCATATACAGCTTGTTGACATTGGCTATATGCATTTTTCGGTTCGAAAGGGTAGATAAATTATGCTTTTTTCAAGAAAAATGTTATTAAATGATTTCAATTTTGTTCGCGCTTTAGCTCCTTAAAAACTTTGATATGGATACCATCCTTTATGTAAATGGAGTTATGTCTTGCATTTCAACTTTGTTTTTGTTCTGCTACTTTGGAAAATTGGCCTCATACAGTTATGAGAAAATGATAAGCTGCCTTTATGAGGATATTAACTGGACTGAACTACCAAATGGTCAGCAAAAACACTTGATCCTCATGATCGCCATGGCACAGAAACCTGTTTTCTATCACGGATTCCATATCATGAAACTAGACTTGAAGACTTTTGCTACAGTAAGTTCGATTGAATTCTACCTTCAAATGATTAAAAACTTACATTTGATATTACTTTCCAACAGCTAATGAACAAAACATATACCTTTTATATGATTTTTAAAACTTTTAGTGAATAATTACAGTAATTGAGTGATTATTTAAATTTACTGTAAAATTAAGTTTTTGAACGAAGATATCATAATATTACTGCGCTCACCAAAAATTGTAGTCACATTTTTAATACACATGCACAAACTAAAAAATATATTGTATGTTCTCTCTCTATATATATCTGTAATTAAAGTTCCTGGAACATGTTTTATCTGCTTGAAAAAAATACAGTAAAAACTGTATGTCATCATTTTATTTTTGGTCACTTTCAACGAGATTTCTGGTCACTTTTATTCTATAATAAATTATTATAATAAAACAATAAATTAATAATTATAGATAATAATAATAATTAGAAATAACCAAAATAGAATTAATTTACAACTTTTAATTGTTTTCATACGTCCTCAAGGAAAAAATTTAGGGGGGGGGGGGG